GACTTTGTATGCAGGTATAAGAAGAAGCATAGATAAATGTCATTGTGTATAAAACAAGCCTGAGAACAAAAACTGTAGTCTACACTTCAGCTCTACACCGAAGCGAAGCGAGGGCGGACCGCTAGTCCTATATATTTATATATTACAAAGTTATTTATGCAGTTAGTATATCTGGAAACCTGGACCGAAATTGCAATATATTTTAGTTTTTCCTTGATTTATACACTAAACACTAACTGTATTCTCGAAACTTCTATGTCTGCTAGAAGTTTTGATAATCGGTCAGTCAGTCAATGAGTGACAAAATTAAGAAAATTTGACTAGTTATAATTCTTAAACTTCTGCCTCAAGTTCAATAAAATTTGAGTTTATACAATGCCTACTTGGTTACTGAAAATTCAGGCTTCTAGTTTTATCGCCAACAAAGTTATAGGGGGTTGAAAATGGCCTGAACTGTTTCAAGAAAAGGATGGTATGGCCGTGCCGCTGTTTTTGCTCAACATGGCGGGGGCACTGCCGTGCCCCAAGATATGCATAAAAAACAAAATGTATAATAAATTAAGGCCAAAAAATCAACAATAATAGAAATAAATTAAAAACGCATTTACAGGGAACATAAATTACAATTAAAATTAATGAATAATAAGCAAAGGTCACTCGAAACTTCTGCCAATATATCCGTAATAGGCAAAACTAATGATAATAAAATAAGGAATAGCATACATCAAATTACGAAATATATTAATAAATACAGCAATAGATGCACAGCGCATTGATAAAACCTGTACAGTATATTAATTAATGCATTATATTATAATGTATGCGTAACGTAACTCTAAGTTATAATATGTAAATAATCCGGATTATAACGGTTGGTAGAGGTTAATTAGCTGAGATTTTATAAAAATATCTTGGTTTTTTAAATAATAAAGTTATATAATAAAGTTATGTTTATGTAAAATATGATACTAATAGGGAAATCAATGAAAGAGTCATTAACACCGATTAAATAGTAATACGAAACGATGTTGGCAGATAAAGCGTTGAGAACTTGAGAATCATAAACAGACAAGCGAAGCGGCTCAAGCGCAGCGAATGAATAGAAACCAAACTCTCAAAGCCAGTTTCGAACAAGCCCAGAACAATAGCAAACGAAATGAAATGAAAAGTCATTTATTCAGTCTAGGCTGTTACAAGCACTTGTGAAGGTCAGGAAGCTACGCCATCGGTTCGCAAAACTACGGCGGGAGACCTTGTACTGAGAAGAACCGGCAAGAAACTCAGCAAGGGCTGCTTTTTCTCCTTGTATTGATATATACAGAGTCGTCAAGTTGAAAAAGTGACTTCAGAGATACTCTGAAGTCACCTTCCATTACATTATTTAGGATATAGATATATAGTAACAATAAATTTTATATTTAGTATATCAAAGCAGCAGCAGGTGCAGTAGGCAAAGCAGAGGTTATAAACGCTTTAAACGTTAACAGTAAATTAACAGTAATAGACACCTGTATAACTAAAATTAACAAAAAGAAAACATAATTTAAAGTTAATATTAAACGAAGTGAGAGCACTTGAAATAGAGAAAAATAAGTGTAGAAATAAATTGAACAATCCTGTTTAAATAAATCATTGTCATATTTGTTTCTTAGGTTTTCACGCACATCACTCATTAAATAAAACTAGTTTTTACGGGCTAATGCACGAAACTTTATTTATTTATGTTTCGTAGCCTTTACAGGCTACGTCGTCAGAATTAAACTTTTATTTAATTTGTCGAGCTACCCTCGAAAGACTTTTATTGAGCGTTCGGTTATTTCATTGTTCGATTTTTAAAGTTTTATTGTCTATGTATGAATTTATTATTAAATTTACTTAATAAAGTATTTTATTTAAATTCTTTTTTGTAATTTTGAGTTTATTTATTTGACCCTAACTACCGTAAACTACCACCGGTCCCAAAACCTTTTGGGAGACCTTTCTGAGAAGAACCGGCGAAACAAACTCAAGAGAGGCTTTCTATCTCCTTCTTATGTTAAATTATGCAAACAAAAAGAACTAATAGTATTTGATGGTCTTGCAGTGTGTGCTCGGGGTTGGGATTTTATCTCCTGTATAATAGGTTCCCAAGCTGCTGGTATATACCAACCATCATCCCTATTGAAATTTGGATATTTTTTTAATCTCAATAGCCTTGCGCATCATTCGAGGAACGAACCGCCGCTCAGCTGCAAGGATCTGTGGTTTATCAAATGTAATGTAATGGTTTGGTCCCCCTAATGCATGTTCACACATTGCAGACTTATTTTCGCGCCTATGTTTCATATCTGCAATATGTTCTTTTACCCGAGTATATTTTACCCTATACTCCTCTTTGTTTGCCAGATGTAGGAGAGCCCACAGTCGCATTTAAGTTTGTAGACACCAGCAACTTGAAAGGGTATATTGCACTTGACCGGTCGTAGAAACTGGTTGATCTTCTTTGGCGGCTTGAAGTATGTATTGATTGAAGCACGCTTCAGAATCCTCCCAATCTTGTCAGTGAATCCTTTCATGTAAGGTAGTATAGCAGGTTGTCGGTCGACTGTGCTAGGTTTGGCGCGACTGTGACGGCGACGTGGTACATTCAGGTTATTATCCTTCAGTACTCGCTCGACATGCTGAAGTTCAGCTGCCAGGTGTTGTTTGTCACAGACACCCCGTGCTCTGTGAAACAAAGACGACGACGTAGCCTGTAAAGGCTACGAAACGTCAATAAATAAATAAAGTTTCGCGCATTAACCCGTAAAAACTAGTTTTATTTAAATCATTGTCGTTGGATATGTATGATCTGCTATGGAGATGGATGCGAGTAGCCCAAGATCGATCTGAGTGGCGTGGATTTGGAGAAGCCTATGTCCAGCAGTGGACTATGATAGGCTGTTGATGATGATGAAGAGAATATTTACAATAGGGTTACAAAAGGAGCTCGATGGCGCAAGTGGTATGCGAGCTCGGCTGCGATCGGTGAAGTAAAGCAACTTACTCAGTGGTCGGTCATTGGATGTGTGAACAAAAATTTAGTATCTCGAGTTCCTCCGTGCTTCGGAAGGCACGTTAAGCCGTTGCTCCCGGCTGCATCTGTAGTCGTTAGCACCCACCAATCCGCAGTTACAGGCCCAAACTCCCTATTCCATGCATAGGGAAGGCCTGTGCCCCAGTAGTGGGGACATTAATAGGCTGGTGATGTATGATGATGATTTGCAAAATAATTCGCAACATAGTCCCCCCATATAGTGTAGTCATACCCTTTGGTGGGAGGAAGGGCGAATGAGCATTTTGGCAGGTCCCCTTAGCGTTCTACCTTTGGTTTCTACGTCTGCTACTCTTAAGCTTGTCTTTGATTCGGTCTTGGTGAGCAGGTTCTTATATTCCGGTATCAGGTGGTCGTTTACATAAAAACGTTGTGTACTATTCGCGAAACCAAAGTCAGCAGCATTCACATCCTTCTTTGCACGGGCCGTGGTCACAATATCTTATTTTTTTATATCGATTAAGGAAATTGATAACAATCGACTTTTCATTAGAGTTGTGAACCGGTACTCTCGGAATAAAATTCATTTGAGACTTGGGAAAAGGGTAATCCACAGCGTTGGTCTGTGCTTCCACAATGGACAGATGGTTTTCACCTTCTTCGAATGGACCTTTAATTTCTACGTTATGAGAAAAGGCGATTTGAGTTGCTGTGGTATGTCCCGTCGCAAACTGAAATTCTACAAAGTGATCCCATTTCCTACTATCACCTTAATATTATAAAGGCGAAAGTTTGTGAGTGTGTCAGTATGTATGTTTGTTACTTCTTCACGTCTAATCGGCTGGAGCGATCTTAATAGAATTTGGCATGGAGTTAGCTGACAACCTGGATTAACACGTAGGCTACGTATTACTGCGGTAAAATATCCTTAATAAACCGAGGGTAACACCGCGGGGCACAGCTAGTTATGTTATAAATGTGAAAGTAAAACAACAAAATAATAATAAGCGCATAAACCTCGCCATTCAGCGGGGAAATGCCGTCAGCGTCCTGGGAACCTTTGGCGACGGGGAGGACTTAGGGCAGCTATTTATTAATATTTTAAATTTTGTCCAGTTTTAGTGTAGTTTTAGTTTTATATTTGCCATGTTGCTTTTGACTTGTTTCTAGAATTATTAATAAAATAAATTTTTATGAAATAATAAAAAAAAAGTAAAAACCACTTTAACGGATTTGGGTGAAATTTGATATGCGTACTATAGTTAATGATCTGGATTGGGACACACTATTCTTCCCGACAAAATGTTGGATTCCTGTGGGATTGACTAAAAACTAAAGTTAGCCCGGACAAAGTCGCAGGCGGCCGCTAGTGTAAGTATAAATTTAAAGACTGAAAGTTGTTAAATGTATTTCATAAATTTTACGTGTTTGTTTGACAGTCAAAAATACCTACCTAGGTGCATTTGCATTGACGCTAGTAAATTCGCGGTAGTACTGGTCAATAGAGCATAAAATTAACCTAAATTATCATTTCAATATATCTTTAGTCTAGAGTTTCTGCATAAAATTGAATTATGAGTCTTTTCGTTTTTATGTTATTCAAAAAGTTATCTGACAAAGTTAGAGGCACAATAATAAACTCTGTAAAATGTAAGCTGCGGACGTTGAAGTTAAGCAACTTTCGCAGTTGTCGGTCATTGAATGGGTGACCAAAAATTTACTATATTGAGCTCCTCCGTGCTTCGGAAGGCACGTTAAGCCGTTGATCCCGGCTGCATCTGCAGTCGATAGCATCCACCAATCCGCACTGTACACGCGTGGTGAGTCAATGCCCAACCTCCCTATTCCATCCATAAGGAAGGCCTGTACCCCCACAGTGGAGACATTAATAGGCTAATGATGATGATGATAATGATAAAAAAATGTCAAGCAACCGTTTCGATGGTTAAGAACAAGATGGGTGACCCACTTCTGTATCTGCCCGCAGAATTCGCAATGGCGCCTTCAGTGACTGAGTATTACACCGGAAAACGTGTGCTGATCACGGGCGGGACGGGTTACGTCGGAAAGGTAAAACATTTCATAATTTTCATTGGCTTTTCTTTAAAGTGAAACTTTTTTTCGGACGGGGTCTAAATGGAAAGATCCCATGGAAAAGATGAAAGAGCGACACGAGCGTCACACGACTATATACAGGTTGTTATAAAAATACAAATAAAGCTTGAAGGGTGTTGAAGTACATCATTTAATTTTTCATCAAAACACAGGCCTGTCTCTTCTCGACGAAACGGAGTCCATTCCATCTGACTCCGACTTTCCGAAATGTCTCCGTGCCGGTTAAAGACCATCTCGAGCTCTTGGGTATGGACATCTCATCCAGCCTCAATTTCGGTCGCTACATCGAGTCCATTGCTAAAACCACTGCCAGAAAACTTGGAATACTTTCTAAGGTCAGGCGATATTTTACATCTGAGCAGCTCCTTAACCTTTACCGAGCCCAAGTTCGCTCCTGCTTGGAGTACTGTTGTCACCTTTGGGACGGATCTGCTCGGTATCAGCTGGATGCACTGGACTCGGTGGAACACCGTGCGAAGAGACTGATAGGCAATGACGCTCTCGTTGAGGCTAATCTCCAGAGCCTTGACCACCGAAGACGTGTAGCTTGCCTCTCGGTGATTTATCGGTTACATTTCGGAGAGTGTGCGGAGGTATTACATAATTTGATCCCCCCTTCCCCTTTCCACCACCGGATGACCAGGCGCGGCGAGGGCTTCCACCCTTATGTTGTCGAAGTTCCTCCCATTCGCACGAAGCGATTTGCTTCGGCCTTCATTATGCGAACGGCTAGGGAGTGGAACTCCTTGCCGAGGTCTGTTTTCCCGGACCAATATAATCTGGACATCTTCAAGGCCAGAGTGAACAGGCATCTTCTAGGCAGGCGTGTACCATCCTAGGCCTCATCATCACTTTCCATCAGGTGAGATTATGGTCAAACGCATTGCCTATTTTGCATAAAAAAAAAATTAAGGAGTCTTCCATTTTTTTTAAATATTTGCATGAAGTTTAAAATTAAAAAAAAAAAAAGTTATTTTTAATGCTTAATAAAAATATCGATCTTTTTAAGACACGTCACTAGTTCGAGGATCATTAAAAATAACTGTTTTTACAAAAAGTTAAAAATTCATGCAAATATTTTAAGAAAATCAGAGAAGACTCCTTCTAAGATGTAGGTACTTCAACGCCCTTCAAATTTATTTGTATTTTTGTAACACCCTGTGTATACCTATATAATGTGTATAAATATATATATATATGTTTGACTTTATAGATAGGTTGAGTTTCAATAGGTTTTGTCTGTCTAGGTTTAAATTGTATCAATTTAGTTTTTTTTTAAAAGTTAATTACTAAATTATGTTCGTATAACCATTTTATTGTCTCACCTATATTGTATTCTAGCTTTTCTTGCTGTTCGTTGCTAGACTAACAGGGCATTACAACAGAGGATTCTTCCACATAAATGACAGCCCAAACCACTGGACGGAACGGGGTGAAATTTGGCATGCAGGTAGATGTTATGACGAAGGCATCCTCTAAGAAAGGATTTTGATCAATTCTACCCCCAAGGGGATAAAATAGGGAATGAAAGTTTGTATGAAACTTTGTCAATTTTAAACCGATCGGGCTGAGACTTTGCATGCAGGTATAAGAAGAATCATAGATGAATGTCATTGTGTTTAATACAAGCTTGAGAAAACTGTGCCCCCCCCCTCCCCCCTCCTACGACAACAATAAGACTCCCTCTAGTTGAGTCGAACCCCTCAAGTTCGAGTGGTCTAGATGCTCCAGACAGGGAGGAGACTCCGCCCGTGGGGTGATGCCATCCGCCTGGCATACTTCTAAAGGCTCTCGTCAATTCTCGGCTTGAGGTCCCATCAGGATCTCGCCGTCCCCAAACCCGGTGACGCTGTAAAGGTCATCTGCGACCAACAGTAGTAGGTATTAATTTGTATTATTAATTTCTCGTTCTCCCTCAGGCTCTGGTCGAGAAACTGCTGAGGAGTTGTCCTGACGTAGACACCATATATCTACTGTTAAGGAGCAAAAAAGGACTCAGCAGCGAAGAGAGACTTAAGGATCTTTGCAATAATAAGGTAAGAAATCTTTCGATCCTTAAGGAAGATGTATTGTTAATCAATGACGTATAATATTTAGACAGGTTATACGCCAACATTATTGCATTTTAAGGGTGAGGCCAAATGAGCGTAATTTTGTGAGTGGTGAGTCGCAGATTTCGGTCGCAGAAATTCTGCTGCGTTCGGTTTCCTACAAAAAGGCAGTTGGTGCCACACGAGAACGCAAAATGAGTTGGCTGCCGACTCAATGCGCATAAGCTCGTCCAAATTTCGGTCGGGGTGAGGGTAGGGCAAAGAAGGGGAGTAGGGAAGCAACAGTTTGTTACAAGTTGCGTGGTGTAATAATTCTTGAAAAACACGTAATGGCATATGATAGTACTTTTCAAACATATCTGGATTTGCACATAAACGTTCATATAAAGTATGGAACTGTCCAAATATCAGCCTCTGACTATTCAGTGGGTTTACCCAGTTTCTTTTTCTGGCCTCATCTTCTGAATATGCTTCGTAAATACACAATATTTTTAATGGATCCAAGCCCAAAATTTACCTTATTCCATGTTGCCCTGTGAGTAATTTCCATAAACCATTGATAAAGCTAAGTTTTGAGGCTTTGAAACCGGCGACATTGTTGTTTTCATTGGTCTTGAACCTTTTTTATAGATAAGTCATCAACCTCTTTTTCCAGCTGTTCGACGTAGTGCGCAGCCAGAACCCAGGTGTGTTTAGGAAGCTAAAACTGATAGCTGGCGATATCTTGGATGATGGCTTAGGTATTTCCAATGATGACAGAGCTGAGCTGCAGAAGAACTGCAATGTCATCTTTCATAGTGCAGCCTGTGTGAGGTGAGATAATCTTATTCCTTGCAATAGGGTATTTGACAGTATTAAAAATAAAGTGCCAATTGTTAGCATCTGTGTTTAGAATGAATATCGGCAGGGGTTTTTACTATTTTTACAGAAAAAATATTCATAATTTTACTAAAAACCCACGCAAAAGATAATAGTTTTCTTATCTATTGTCACGTGAACCAAAACGCTTGGGATTGGCGGAGCCTAAAATGACGTCACATGCAAGTAAACTTCCGGTTAAAGTGACATTACATTGTATCGTTTGACGTTTTAATAACAGTCGTGTGACGTCACACACTAGTAAGACCCATATTGTCCAGAAAAACGTTTTCGCGGCAACTTGAACATGGAGTTTTTGATTTGGTTATTTTTACTGAAATACACAACAGAATGATGAATATCCTTTTTACGGACTCCATAAACATTAGCCAATAACGTGAGATCGTTTTCTAAAACTTTTCAAATACCCTATTAGTTTGTAAGCGATTTTCCGCTAAATTAGAGCACTGGTCTGCGGAAGTCACGTCTATCTTACAGAAGAACACAGTAATATAACATTGCCATGTGTTGGTGTCGTGTTTCTGTTAGTGAGTAAGGTTTCAGGCCTCCCCGTGGTAGTGGATTGAGGATAGGTAACAGCGCGAGTAATATTTTGAAGTGAAAACTTCTTAGTACCATTGAATGAATGAATGAATGATCACTTTATTGTACACCATGAAATTTCAAGTTACAATTAATTAAAACTATTACATAATAGTACAAACGGCGGCCTTACCGCTAAGAAGCAATTTCTTCCAGGCAACCGTATTTTAACTGGACTGTTACATAGAGAGTGGGAAGTAGATGGTGTCATTTAAAGTGATACTACCATTTAAATAATAATGTACAACAAAAAATACAAATACAAATACATAAACATAATATATCTTTATATATATAATTCTTCTGTGAGTGTGTATGTCACTGAACTTCTCTTAAACGACTGGACCGATTTTGATGACATTTTTTGTGTGTGTTCAAGGGGATCTGAGAATGGTTTAGATTCACAATTTTGTCCGCTGGACAATGTTTTTTTAATTTTTTTTTTTATGGCGGTACGAAGTTCGCTGGGTCAGCTATAAGTCTATATATATAAACAGACTAACACCTCAATCATACTTACTTTGGATGATGTGACGACGTACTAAAGTGTCAAGTAATGTTCTTTTAACATTTTTTTAAAACAAGCTAATGTTTTAGCACCTCTGATTGTTTCTAACAAGGCATTCCACAAACGAGCAGCCTGAACTACAAATGACTTGTCCACAAATTTCGTGGAGTGCATTTGAATCGCGAGTGTTAAATTCTCTGTCGATCTCAAAACACGAGCATGTGTATCATGCAGGAAATTATAACCGTTGTGGTTTGAAACTCGTTGAAACGAAAATTTTACAGTATTTGACACAAGGTTATTCGTAATTTTGTGACTCTCTGCAAGAAGCAGATAACCGAACGGTGATGGTCTTGGGGTTGACACGAAATGATCGGTAGTTCGATCTTGAGCTTGGATATTTTTTTTTATTTTGAATTTATATAGTTATTAATTATTGAAGTTATACTTCTTTAGGCGCGTTATGAAAAAATGATGAGAGTGAAATTTTAAGTTGCGCGCCCATCACTGTTACCGCATATTAAGAAAATCTACCAACAAAATAGAAATAGAATCTCTATTTAGTGGGTGCTAACGACTGCATTGTGAAGGCCTATCAAAAGTATTTATTAATCTGGAACAACGGAACCAAAGCGCGATTCAGGAGACTACAGCGCCATCTCTTGACCATTGGTGTAGTAGAACCAAAAACCACATCTTTATTTTTTGTAATAAAGTAACAGTTATAGGTATTCATATTTATAATATTTATCCACATGTTTCTAGTTTGTATATTCGGAATACGTGTTTGAGTTTCATACAAGTGCAAATCACATATGATCTAATAAATTATATTCAGTAGCGATTTTAATTGAATATTTTGATTATTTATTTATTTTTTCAAATTAAAACTGAACTTTATTGACTGTGTCCTTTTCCAGACTTTTTATTAATTTATTGTAATTAATTATTTGCATGCAATTAAAAACTAATTTTAAACGATGCCAAAGAAAGATAACTTCTCACGCGCCTACATAAGTACACGCACCTATTTTTTTTTGAAACAATTTAAGTATAGAATATTTAAATTAGTACAGTATTTTACAATACCTGTACCCTTGGTACGAGTTTTACAATCACGAAAACTATGACAGTTTTCGTGAGCTCGCACTCGTACTAAGGGTACTGATTTTATTGTTTACGTTTCATTATAAATAAACAGTGTTTAAATTCTGTCATTAAATCATTTGCGTATTCTTAAATTTTAAGTATATCTGGTTAGTTTTCACCAAAATGGATATAGAAACATAATTTACAATTACGAAAAACTATGATAGTTTTCGTGAGCTCAAACTCGTACTAAGGGTACTGCAGAGTTTTAAGTATTAATAATAATAAATAAATAAATATTTCCAACAGTCGCACCAATTAGCCTAGCCCCAAAGTAAGCACAGTAAGGCTTGTGTTATGGGATGCTAGGGTAACGGATAAAATACATATACAGTACATATATAAGTATATTTATATAGAAATACATATTAAACATCCATGGCTGGAGTACAAATGCTCGTATTCGTCACAAAAACATCTGTCCCTACCGGGTTTCGAACCCGAGTCGGCGAACATCATGAAACCCGGCGTATAAACCACTCGGTCAAGGAGGTCGTCAAAAAACGTTTGGTAGGTGTCTAAGTTGTTCATTTATACAGCTTTAGTTTTTATCAACTATCTTTACCTTTCCAAATTTTTTACAGTATTTTTTTTATTAATAAAAAAAAATTAAAATATAAAAAAACATAACAACATAACAACACAACACACAAACACAAAGAAATAAAATAAAAAAGCTGGTAACAATGAAAGCCGCCGGTGGCTAAAGTATTTCTGTTTCTATCTTTATCATTATCTTGCTAATCATTTGCCTTCCAGATTCGACCAGAAGTTAAAAGATGCTGTGAACCTGAATACTGTGGGGACATTACGTGTACTGCAGTTGGCAGAGACAATGAACAATTTGGAGGTACCTAATTTTTATTACGAGATGTTTTAAATAGAAGATTATTATAATCAGACCCGTCTTTCCCAGTGGACACTTTGGGCAAGTGCCCAGGACCCCGCGATCGATAGGGGGGCCCCTCAGATCAAATACAGAGTCCCTAGTTCCTGTTAAATCTCCAAACGGAAGTCATAGGGGCCCCATTATCTTTAATATGCCCAGGGCCTCCAATAGGTCAAACACGGCGCTGGAGAGAGAGGTGGGGAATCGCGCGAGTGACGTGTGGCGGCGTTCTGTATCGGCGCATTAAGGGCCCGGCGCGGGCCACAAGAAGCGGGCAACGACGATTTCTAGCGTGTGGCGGCCACCGGCGTACCGTGTGTAGCGAGTCCATATAAAACGTATAAAAACTGCAATAAATATGCCGGTGGCGGCGTTTTGTGGTTGTGGTCGATGTGTCGCCCGTGTGCGGCGACACTTAATGCGTGGAACCCTGGAACCTCACTTACCGACAGAAACACAACACCACCAAAAGGTAGAATTATTTTCTGCGGTCATCTGTAAGGTGAAGTTTACTTCTCCAAACGGGTGCTCTAACCCGATCAGACAATCCACTATGTCCTATCTATCTTGTTTCAGGCAGTGCTCCACCTATCGACAGCTTACTGTCGCTGCGAACTCGACGAGCTGGAGGAACGCATGTACCCAGCTGTCCACAACCCGCGGAAGATCATGGATATATGCAAATGGATGGACAACAGCCTGCTTGAATACTTGGAGCCAAAGTAAGTGACTAAGACTGTAACTTATTTATGGATCGGCCAGTGACATGTCATGATAGGAGAAGGCTAGCAGAGGTATTTTCCACTCGGATTGGAGCGCCCGTCTGGGGAAGCAACCCCAATTTACAGAAGACCACAGTAAAATAACGCTAACTGTGGCCGCTATTCCAACGGGAACAAAGAAATTTGGTGACTCATTTCTTTGTCGCACTATCCGCAAATGGAATGTTCTGCCCGCTCATGTGTTCCCCCTCTCCTACAACCTGGGATCATTTAGAAGAGGCATGAAAAAGCAACATGCAGGCCGGCAGGGTGGCAGGTAGAACTGCTTTACCAGCTATTTTTGCGTCTGGATTCCACCGTCACTTAACATCAGGTAGGATGGAGTCATTTGTCAGACCTGTCTATAAAAAAAAAACACTAGCTATTGGGGGGGGGGGTTGTGTTTCTGCTGGTGAGTAGGGTTCCAAGGATCCACGGGGTAGATAATTAGGTTCAAGCCAGGGTGGTGAGGATAGTTGGAGCGGGACACCTTCTGCGCATCATCTATCTTAGTGATTGGACTCACTTACACTTAACATCAGGTACGGTGCTTAACATCAGCTTTGGCTCCAGGGGGGGGGGGGGTCATATAGTCGTGGTCAAGGCACAGTGGGTACAGATTGTGAAGTGGGTACAGATGGAGCCAGCCCAGGAGGGGGGGGTCATGACCCACATGACCCCCCCTCTGGATCCGCCCTTGGTACAGTGTTGCGTCTCGTATAAAACGGGCACGTTCTGAATAGGTCGGTTTTCTGAAATGATAGGTTGTGCTATGTTAGTAGATTATCATAAGTCCTGCTGGAAGAAGTATGGCCTGAACGTTCCCTCACTAACTGTAAGATGAACTAAGCAGTTTAGTCTGATAAAGACGATACTAAGTTCTATTGGACGCATAATGTAATAGTTTAGTTTAAAATTTCAGGGCGGTTTCCACACCTAGTCCTAATTATTGTACCATTGTGAGTGACTCGAAACATTCTCGTTCACTCCAGCCAGCCTTAGTTAGTCCAGAAGGAAAGCAGCCTTGGCAGACTGCTGCAAGCTTGCGGAAGCGATGCTGGGGACTGGAGAAGTCGTGCCCGTTGGTCGGCCACACCCCTGCATTCCTTGATGACATGATGTGGCGTTTCTTCTGCCTTCATGCATCCGCTACGTAGGGGGTGTATGTTACTCCTATTGTATATATGTAGGTTTTTGTTTAGGGGACAATGACCAGACAGTGTCATCAGTGCAGGACTGGTCCATTTAGTGATCCTTGGTAGAGCCCTTTGCTCAGCTGTGGTTGTCGTACGGCTAATTATGATGATGCTAATTATGACCTTCGTGGAGTGAGTGGAATGTAGGTACACTGGTTTTCAAGATCTCGCCTACTCTGAGATCCTGTGTTCGAATCAAATGTTTGTATAGTGAATACGAAAATTTGTACGTGGGTAATTCATTGCTTAGCCCATGCTACAAGACTTACAGTGTTAAACTGGAGAGTTAGTTTTTTTCCCCTGAAACCTCGTCTGAAACCTGGAGTTGGGTTGGGTTTTTCTACAGGTTATTTTTTAATTTTATTTATTTAAGGAGTAATTAATAATTTGCAGGTTAATAGAATCGGAGCCTAACACATACTCTTATACGAAGGCAATCACAGAAACATTGGTTGAAGAGTTTGCGTGCAAGTTTCCATTGGCCATCGCCAGACCGTCGATAAGTAAGTTTTTTATTGGATCTACTGCCAGTATTTGCCACCATGCTTGATGAACTGCAGTGCTATGCTCACTGCCGGATTTAGGGGAGGGCAACCGGGGCGAAAGCCCCGGGGCCTCCACAAACGGGGGGCCCCCTCAATAGAGACTTCGGAAAAAAAATCTTTCAAATTCCAACTACTTAGTAAACACTAGTAAATATCTTTTCGGTTCCGTTCGTTAACTCTAAGATTTAATTTCAAATAATTCTTGTTTCCGTTTATATGTGTTTGTTCAATACTAAGGGAATCTACTTGGTTCACAATAAATTATTTATTTTAAAACTCGACTGAAAAAAAATTGTTTACTTTATTTGGAAAAAATTTGGGGCCTCCGCTCCTCTGTTGCCCCGAGGCCTCCGGACCTCTAAATCCGGCCCTGGCTATGCTGTAAAGACTCCTGCGTATCGGATCCGCTATGGATAGGGTTGCCACCTTTTTTATGTCCAAATAAAGTACATTGGATATTAAAAGTTGAAAAAAAGTACATTGTGTCCAAAATAAAGTACTTTTTATTCCACTTAATTAGTAAGCTTAAAAATATATTTTAAGTGGCTTATAGCAACTTTTGATAAATAATTTGTAGCTACTAAACATTTGTAGTTCTTTTCCACAGCCGAAAAGGTCATGGTACAAAGCCATACAGCCACGACAATGTTGCAAGAATGAGACATGACATATTATAATGCTCTAAGCACATTATACATACAGTCTGTCCGTTTTACGCAAAAAATTATCCTATCAATCTCTTTTTGTATATTTTATGCAAAATTAATCCCCGAGTAATCAAACCACATTAAATACGCATACATAAAATATAGAGTACAATTACCCGAAATAACATACAATACTTTATAAAAAAGTACGGGTAGCAACCCTAGCTATGGAACTGAGATCCGCGCGTGAAAATTTTGTGTCTTTACAGCATAGCACTGTTGGACATACTTGTGACACACTACGTGATATTCCTCATGACGAACCTGGGATACAAATCGGTAATTCACAAGGTGTTCTTCGTATAATTTCCGTCACGAATTTTAATTATCATTAGATTCCTTGCACTGACAATGAAACTTGAAAATCACGTTACATTTTATATATTTGTGCATTTGGCACTTTAATTAACAATTCGGTTTTGGATTAATGAAGTGCTATACTTTTGGGCGTGACGAAAATTAGAATCGCATTGATGGACTTTAAAGAATAGCTCTATAAATTATGAATTTCTGTTTTAATAAGACATACATGGAAATTATGAACATACAAAATCATTGTACATGGTAGATAGTTAACAAGGACGCACTTATACGTGATAGCCATATGACAGAGTGAAACAAACAGCTGAACCGCGTAGTGCTGTTTGCATCCAAAGTTATTTGAACTGTAAATACCTATCTTATTCAATAACTCTCCCTGATTTTATTGTTTTTATTTCTTGCTAAATTGTATTTCTACGACTCTGGTGTATGGTAAAAACTCGAATGAGTTTATGTAACACCATACTAATGAACTTCATACAGATGTATCATCATAATATTAATAAATAAAAAAATAATAAATAAATGGTTCAGATGTTAATGGCCAAAAGAAAAACTAACCAGTAATGTAATACCAAACAGTTATTAGAATTTTTATATTTTTCTTCACGTTTTATCGTGACAGAAATGAGGAACACGAGGATAATGTCTAATTATAAAAAAATAGCATAAATATATTGAATAATGCTAATGATAATAATCATTTAACAGGAATAAAATTTTCGACATAATAAAATAAAAAAAAACAAGCCTACGGAAATAAGAGAAATCGTAAACCATGCGAATACCAAATACAACTCTGGCTTCGGCAATGATAGCGGTCCTGTTGAAAATCATACCATGGGCTTAACTCTACACTTTTATTCTTCATGTCCAAAGCAATAGTGGCAAATGAATCTGTTAACTAATATTTCTGCTTCAGTAATCGCAGCATGGAAGGATCCTTTTCCCGGCTGGGTGGACAACTTGAATGGACCAACGGGTCTACTCATAGGAAGCGGGAAAGGTAATGACATCATCTTCATCAGCCTATCGATGTCCCCATTGCTGAACAGACCTTCCCTTTCGGCTGGAATGGCGAGACTGCATCATGAACTGCCACTCACGCTCAATGGTGGGCGCTAACGACTACAGATGATGGTAAGCCGATGACAAGCCATTGCAAAAGTTATTGGGTTTCCATGATCACAGACTGAACACGCTAACGCACTATGCCATCGATACACTCAAACGTAAATTACCGAAGAATTACGAAATTGTCGGATTAACAGTTAGATCAAGTTAGCTACTCCATATCACCTGTTGTTAAGTTGTGAGAAGAGTCCAGTTGCGAGGATAGATTATGCTCCAAAAAATACATGTCACTCCAGACTTCCGTACCTTTTGGCCTTTAATTAATGGAGGAGCTACCCCTTGAAGCCCTATAACCTTAATCATTATCACAGACTAAGTTAAGTTGTGATATTTTTCTGTAATATGGAACTTAAATGCAAGATAGGCACTCCAAAAAAATGTTTTGTTAAGTTCTGGCTTTTCTCACTAAGGAGTTTCTTGCTGGTTCTTCATGATAGAAGTTGCTGCCGTAGACTTGCATAACGTAGCGTAGAATTTTAACGCCCAGAAGTGCTATAAACGCCCATATTTGACGACCTCCGTGGCCGAGTGGTATGTACGTCGGGTTTCAAGGTGTTACTTACTCGAGAGGTCCCGGGTTTGAATCCCGGTGGGGGCAGATGTTTGTGTGATGAATACGAGCATTTGCACTTCAGTCATGGATGTTTAATATGTATTTCTATATAATTATACTTAGATATATGTGTCAGTTTAATGATTTCTATCCGTAAACCTTGTATTCCATATCACAAGTCCATCACACCAATAGGCTAGTTGACTCATGTCGAATTGTATTAAATAAATGTTTATTTCTTACAGTATTTCGTCTAAGGAACCTAAATATATCGATTTCACTTCATAAAAGCAGAAGATTGCTGTAGAAATTTAATTTTAAAAAATATTTTTTAGTCTATATTTTTTAAACAGTAAAAACGCTGTTCGCCACATCCGCCATGATTTTGACGTCTCTTTCAGTAAACAACTAAATGTCATTCGCATGTTATTGTGAGTGGATTCTTTAGTTTGAATAAATTTATCTTAAAACCCTTTTAACTTTAGATAAGTTTCCGTTTACTGATTTTTTTGACAAAACTAATTATGGATGCCGGCTTTGGGAAAGCACAAATCTGCCAAGAATTGACGCATTGATGGTTGGTGAATTTTTTGCACTAAACCCCGATTACTGCTCTGCGGAGCAGAGAAACGACAAGGCATCTATGTAAGTACAGTGCATTTAGTATTACAATGTAGTAATAAACATAAAACTGATACAACATATGAATAAGTGTAATAAAGTTGCGTAGGTTAATTTCTTTCGGCACTTTAATCCACAACATTCCTGGCGTCTTCGAGGATGTGTTTTTATATTCTCGTACAATACAATAATGATAATTAATTTATTTTTCGTGGTACTTAATAGAAATCATGTTCTTTTTATTATAAACTCAGTTATTTTCTACGTGCTTACGAGTTTTTGTTTACTACAGTTGACATCATAGCATAGACAATCTATAGACTAAAATGGCCCACAGCGTTTTTGTATGTCCATGAAAATTCTATTTTAAAATTAAAGATTTGTAGCTTTCTAGGTCTCAAAAAAATACAATACATTTTTTTTCGTTCTAATAGAACATTTATTAACCATTTAAAACCTTTTTCCAAAAAGGGTCAACTAGCCTATTAGCCTAGACCCAAAGAGAGCACTGTATGCTTACTTTGGGGATAGGCTAATTGGTGTGAGTGTTGGAAATATTTATTATTATTATATTGATTAAATAAATTCACTTTCAGGTGTCATCAGGACCATGCTCTGTACGCCGCATTACACCGCGGACGCTGTGCCCATAGACGTGGTTGTCAACGGCTGCATACTGATCGCTTATGCTACTGCTTTGGATAGGTATGATTTCATCATCATCAGCTTGTTCCCACTGCTGGGCCACAGGACTTCCCTCTGATCTTCTCCTTCTTCTTCTTCTTCATCGTCATTTCCTCATGGCTGAGGGTCGTGACCTTTCAGGACAGCACATTTCACTAATGATCTCCAGACCGTTCTGTGTTTTGCAAGGCGGATGGACGCCTGCAATTTGCCATTCGTAGTTTCTTTAACTATGTCCAACCACCAGGATGGAGACCTGCCCCTACTCCTCTTGCCTTCCACGTTTCCCACGACCAGTAATCCTCTGATAAGCCGTGTCAATAGACAGACCGGTCCGTGCCCCACTATAGCGGGAAAATACGGGATTGGCCTCCACCAATACTTGACTTGACATCAGGTGTCACACTACCTGACAACAGCAGCTTTGAACTACCACACTAGCAATCCTTACTTTGCTGGCTTATAATTTATATGGTGGCACGGTATGGTGGTTGTTAAAAATTGCAGATACAGCTGGGACTAGGGTTACCATCCGGATTATTTCGGACATGTCAGGACTTTTAGACACTATTACTACGGATATTGTCTTTTTTTTTATTTGTCCGGATATTTTGCTATCATGCATACTAGATGCCTACCATACCACTGTGAGTAAAGTTTCCATTTTGTAACTTACTTGTAACAAACTTAAAGGTAGCCCTGGCAGGGACCGACCGACGGCGACAATAAAATTGTTTTCCGAAGAACGGAGGAGCGTGAGGTAGTGAATTCTTGGTCATCCATCTTTTACCCGGCTATTGCGAAATCGCAGACCGAATGCGGAAGCACAAGGCAAATGGACTAACCACTAAGTTCTTCGTCATCATCGTCTTTATATTTCTTTACATTTATATAAAAGGTTTTATGTTGTGTAAGTAATTACTCTTATTTTTTTACAGACCCCGGACTATCAGCGTGTATAATATCACGCTGTCACAAGTAATCAGCATATCATGGGAAAAGATTATCGAATTAGGTAAATCATTCTTAATTTCGATGGCATCAACATAATTTTTGGCATTAGGTACCCAATGAAAATATTTCATCGAAATTACCATTACCAAACTATCAATCAGTATTTTCAGCTTTTCGGGCGAATGCACTTATATTTTATGCTAGTAGTACCCACCTTTACAGACGTTTTGAATTCCTTTTCAAGTATGACTTAAGTATTCTGTCCCTTTTATTTTATTTATCATCTTCCTCCACTCATTTTGGTAGTTCTTCTTATACTTCTAATTTAATTCATTTAACTTATTTTTAACATGATCTTATTTTTTTCTCATAACAGTCTACCTTCTTTAATAATATGCCACCATAATAATGGGTTAGCTATCCCCCCATAGGAACGTTATTATCGGTCGATAATATTGGATGCGTTAAAGAGTGGTTCATGCATCATGCTCGTGAACATCTCCGATGGCAGCACCCGTCTGCTCTAAATACTATGAAATAGAAATAAAAATATTTTTATTTCTCTCACAGTAATACATAGTTCAATACATAGTACAATGCGATATGACAGCGTGAAGAGCAAATGGATGTGGCTCAGCATAAACTGCTTCGTTACAGAATGTCTCGGGCAGCGCTGGTTTTTTAGCCACACCTATGCTATTGATTGAAGATGTTAGCAAGTTATACTTAATATAAATAACACTACTTATGTTTATACTGCATTTTTATTGCTGTGTGTTACTGTGTCAAAACACAGCAATCAAAATGCAGTTAAGCAATTAATTTATATTTTACATGAAGGGTGACTTCATGATTAATCTCTAGTAATTTTTCAACTTTATGACTCCGTAAATAATGAAACAGGAAAAAAAAACAGCTCTTGCTGAGTTTCTTGTGAATTCTTCTCAGTACAACGTCTCCCACCGCAGATTTACGAACCGATGGCGTAGCTTCTAGACTTTCATGAGTTCTTGTAACAGCCTTAACTGAATAAATGATTTTGAATAATGCTTATTACGATATCTGTTTCCAGTTAATTATATATTAGAATGGCTACGAAGTTATACAATATCGCAATAACGCATCCGATATTATCGACCGATAAAACGCCCATGGGATTGGCCTTAAGAGTGGACGTGACGTGAGAGAGTAATTTGAGAAATAGTTAAATTGAAAAAATTATTGCTGTCGCGCGTTGCCAAATACCGTGCGATAGGGACAACAGTAGCTAACGCTGACAATTGCATATAAAGATTAGATAATTGGAGGTTTGGCTCTCGATGATTTCCTCCTCGAAAACCAGTTCAATGTAAAAGAAATTTTACATACAAAACAATAACTAGTTATACTAGGCCTCTATGTTTTGCTTCTCTTTAAATGTTTATTGAATCTCCACACTGGGCGTCTTTAGTGGTGATCATTTTTTATTATTCATGGAATTTTTGTGGGCTTCTAGTTTCTTTGAAACGCAAGTTATCGAAAACAGGAAGACATAGGAGCATAGAATGAGCAATATTAAAGTGATAAAAATCAGGGAGGAATCAATCGAGAACGTTTGTATTAAAAAAACATTACCCCCCCCTCTTAAGTGTCGCCGCACATGGGCCACCGACCACAACTACAAAACGCCGCCACCGGCATATTTCTTGTAGTTTTCATACATTTTATATGGACTCGCCACATACGGTACGCCGGTGGCCGCCACACGCTACAAATCGCTTCTTGTGGCCCGCGCCGGCCACTTAATGCGCCGATACAAAACGCCGCCACACGTCACTCGCGCGATTCCCCACCCCCCTCACCCTTACCTTAGTCGGCCGCTGTCGCGCGCTTCAGCCACTATAGTAGCCACTTCTAGCTTCTCGTTGCGGCGTTTGTGGCTGTGGCGTGTGACCCGTGTGCGGCAACTCTAAGAGCGGTGGTTTTTGACGGAGAATGATGTATGCGATATGTCATTAAACTGAAATCTGCGTATAGTTGCGCTCTGAAGTTACGCTCGCTGCTAATTTCACACCCGCCATAAAGTTTTTAATGCACTATAACAGACTTTTACGGCCATAGCCAATAATAAAATTCGAATCCCTCTTGCCCGATTGATTTGTATGCCTGGTTTCAAATTGTCGCCTACTCGTGACGGTTCGAATCCCGGTGGGGGGCAGATGTTTGTGTGATGAATACGAGCATTTGTACTCCAGTCATGGATGTTTCATAAGTATCTATATAAAACTTAAAGGTGACTGACTGACATAGTGATCTATCAACGCACAGCCCAAACCACTATACGGATCGGGCTGAAATGTGGCATGCAGGTAGATCTTATGACGTAGACATTCGCTAAGAAAGGATTTTGATCAATTTTACCCCCAAGGGGATAAAATAGGGAATGAAAGTTTGTATGAAACTTTGTCAATTTTAAACCGATCGGGCTGAGACTTTGCATGCAGATATAAGAAGAATCATAGATGAAGGTCATTGTGAATACAAAAACTGTAGTCTACACTTCAGCTCTACACCGAAGCGAAGCGATGGCGGCCGCTAGTTTCTATATAAATATACTTATATATGTATCAGTATATTTAATGTATTCTATCCGTTACCCTAGTATTCCATAACACAAATCTACAGTGCTTACTTTGGGGATAAGCTAATAGTGTTAGAAATATTTATTATTATTAATATTGTTTCAGGAAGGAAATGGGTCCTAGTTTACCCTCACACTATGGCTCTGTGGTATCCCGGCGGCAACATCAAGACTTACGCGTGGACCAACAGGCTGGCAGTCTTCTTCTCACACCAGATCCCAGCTTATTTGGTGGACAGCATTCTGTTCCTAATGGGGAAGAAGACTTTGTAAGAAATTCACATTATAGTTAATTATAATTTTACACGACTGCCAAAAAAGAGTGTACAATTATTTATTCCAACCTATCTTCTAAACGCCTGAACCGATTTAGATGTATGTAGTAACGTTAGAATATTTGAATCATCCCAGATAATATAGGGAACCTAAACTGTAAAAAATTAAATAACAACTATTTCAAAACGTCAATTATTTAGGTAGGTATGTCAATGAAAAAAGTCTTCTAATTATTACAATATAAGTATATTAAGAAAAGTCTTAATGAAACCATATCAAATCCAAACAAATTTATTAGTTAACAAACGGGTTTGCCTGTTAAACAAGATAAATACTAGAAAAGCCAAAAGCCAAGCACATATAAAATCAAGTTGGAACGTTTAAAAAACATAGCTTTTCAGTTAATTTTTAAGGGCATTCGTGATTTTTAATTTATTAATTGTTATTTTCAAGCATTTAACTGCTAGATGTTGATATCTTTAAGAGAAATATTCTGCGCGATCCAAATAGTAGACACAATTTTGGATTCTATACCTCATAAGAAAAATACTTCTTATATTTATTTATTATGAGGGAAATAACAGCATTAATTTACATTTAGCTTAAACAATTGCCTAGGTTTTTCCGCTATTATTTATCTTACATAGTGTCTAATAAACATGAGAGAAAAAAGAAAGTATTTTTGACATTATAATGAATATAAGTAAATAAAATAAAAAGGAAAGGAGGAAGGAAGGAAAATGTTGTGCCTAAAACGAATTCATAATTAGTTTTTGAATTTCAAAGAATTTAGATTATAATATATCAATGTGACTATATTTATAGTTGTATGATTTCATAGCTCGCACAGTGAAACGATTACTTGCATAATTAGTCCGACCAGCTGGAATGCCACGTATCACGTGCTCGTAGATTTGGTCACCTTTATCGTATAAGTAACCTTTATAGTATCAGTCTGTTGCCTATCCGTTTAAACATCGCATAAGCCTCTTTTTTTCTTTGGAAAGCGTGGTGGTATAAATTTATAAGTATTCTTACTACTATTTATGCTCATTTAAATCTATATTTGGTGGCTCATCTAATTTCCGTCACCCATGGACATCTGAAACTTCAGCGGTATTCACATATTTATAACTGACCTTATGAGGATAAAGACTCTTTTTTGCAGGACTTTTTACTTATGACATAGATGATTTGATGACGATTAGATGGGAGACGGAAATTAAAAATTAATGAAATTAATTTTAATTTTATTTGAGTTAAATAGCCCGCATAAATACTGCTTAAGCGGACCCCAAGCAGGAACTTATTTTAAAAAGATATACATACCTATTTCAGTAGTTAAATGATGGTAGATTAGTTATATGAAAGTTTTTGATAGTAATTCCATTTAATTTAATATCAAAATACGAGGTAAACTTGCATTATTTTTTGGGAAAACTCACGGAGGTTAGATGTTTTTTTTTTTATAATTAATGAGATGGAAAATCCAAAATCTAATACATTACGTTACAACAAAAACAAATTTCTGATGTCGTAGTAATTAATTTGATCTAATTTATTGAACATTATTGAGATTGAGGCGTTTGAAGTTGTGCATATAATCGTTTTTTTTCCCGTAAACTAGCTACAGTAGAACGATCAGTACAAAAAAGGAAAAAAAGTATTTGCAAATAATCTACATTAACTTACAATAGGAAAAATAAATCTACTGTTTACTTCTATTGGAAATAGTCAAAATCTTTACTAAGGGGGTAAACGAGGCGCTCAAAAATTACGATTTTTTTTCAAAAAATGTGAAAGGGCTCTTAAGTTCTTTTTTGTAACCTAATCTAACCTAACTTCATCTGTTGTCCACAGCTTGGTCAACGTTCAAAAACGAGTCAGCCACGGTCTAAGCGTTCTTCAATACTACACCACTAAAGAGTGGTGCTTCAAGAACGACAACTTCCTAAACCTTCAGAAGAGGATCAGTGTGAAGGATAACGACACATTCTTCACTGATCTGAAGCCTGTAGACACAGATGAGTACATGAAGAACTATGTGTTGGGCGCGAGACAGTTCTGCTGCAAAGAAGACCCGTCCACATTGCCGAGGGCTAGAAAACTTAATAAAATGTAAGTATTTAAATCTATAAATAAAACTAGTTTTTACGGGTTAATGCACGAAACTTTATTTATTTATTGACGTTCCAATGAAAATCTTCCAATGAAATAACCGAACGCTCAATATAAGTCTTTCGAAGGTAGCTCGACAATTTTAAATAAAAAATCATTATTCTGACGATGCAGACCTGAAAAGGCTGCGAAACGTCAATAAATAAATAAAGTTTCGTGCATTAACCCGTAAAAACTAGTTTTATTTAATGATGTGCGTGAAAACCTAAGAAACAAATATATTTATATCTAGTTAATAGAGTCTGTGCGGAAAAAGAATGGGATTTAGATTGGAGGGCGCTGTAGTGCTTTTCTACCGTATTTGTAAGATTTTACCTCCTTTTAGACATGATTAAATAAGTACAAAAAACCGCAAGAAATCGCGACAACAAACAAATCCGTATCAATACAAAACTTTGACGTTTTACAGATTGCTGGGTTTGATTGCCAAATAAAAATCTTATTGTTAGTTCCGTTTTTCGCAACGCCTATTCTCTTTCCGCACAGACTCTACCATTATTCCTAGGAGAATTATAAGATTATTGAATTTTTTATTGTTTTTATAATATAGAGTATTATTTTTATTTGAAGCATAAATAATATGTTTTTAAATATTTTTTGCACTTTTAATTGTTAACTTATTAAATCTAATATTTCCATTTGTAAATTTTAAATCGATTTTGTTTTAATCGTGACATTTTTAAAATAATACCTGGATGATTCTATTTAATTTACTCTTTTTTTTTAAATTATTAAGTACCCATCCAATGTCCGACCATTGCGAAAGTTGCTTAACTTCCACGATCTCAGGCCAAACGCGCTAAAGACCAAAAATTAAAAAAAAAACTAGTATGGATTGTGATGATTTTTTATTTTCCAGACGATACGTCGTGGACGTAGTATTCAAAGTGATGTTCTACGTTCTGCTGTTATGGCTGCTATACTCCAATCGCCAAGTCTTCACGTCTTCTATAGAATTCTTGGATTCCACACTCAAAAGCTTAGCGCCCATCAAGAATGTTAGAGCAGATTCTGATGATGAAGTATACGAAATGCAGATGTAAAATTTTAATATAGAATTTAATTTTGGGACTTTGATGCGAGAACTTGATCTTGTATAATTTTAGCCGCCCAATGACGATGGTTGAATTGTAAATTACTGTTAGAGTCTGTGCGGAAAGAGAATGAGCGTGGCGAAAAACGGAACCAACATTAAGATTTTTATTTGGCAATCAAACCCAGCAATCTGTAAAACGTCAAAGTTTTGTATTGATACGGATATGACTTTGTTGTTGTGATTTCTAGCGGTTTTTTGTATTTAATCATGAGTCTAAAAGTGGAAAAACCTTACAAATACGGTAGAAAAGCACTACAGCGCCCTCCAATCTAAATCCCATTCTCTTTCCGCACAGACTCTACTAACTTATTTATTACATACTGTAAATTGTTTTCGTGGTATTCCGTATAAATAGTTCTAATGATTTGTTAATATTTTTTGATAATATGGGTATTGTTTTTAACATTCTTGATTTTAATATTAAAAAAAAATGTGTGAACGGAAGAAAAAAAAAGAAATGCCTTGCAGCCTAAGAAATACTAGAGAAAATTCTACACGGCCATTATGGTCAGTGCATCCGCCCTGTAAGCGGAGAGTGCGGGTTAAGTCCCGTCTGCTGCCTGGTCCGCGTGGATTTTTTTCTAGTAAATTTTTCTTTAGATTTAAACATGTAACAATTAAAGGCCTAAAAATAACAGCAATAAAACATGAATTGAAAAAGTTACATAATATGAACGAAAAAGAATGTAGAAATGAATTTAACTGGTAACTTTAGGAAAGCCCAAAGAATGAAGAAAATAAAATGAGCGCTGAAAATAGTAAATTGAATTAGTAGTTTATTTGTGTACAAAATTTTTTTTGTAATATAGTTTTTATTGCCTGTGTGGTTTTTACGAATGTTTTTAATAAAAAACTGAGTACCTAATTAACGAATTTTTATTGTGAAAAAAAAACCACACGATGAACCTAAATGAGATTCTTTAATAAAGACGGGGCGGATCGCTAGGTCTCCGTAAAATAAATTCGTGAAACAATTAAAGAGTAGGTTATGAAATAATTAAACCTAATAACGAAACTCCATTGGCAGACCAGCCGGCCTATCCGCTAACTTTTTTGACATTTACAAGTGCCGATTCTGGTGTGATTATCTAAACTTAAAGTTAATTTTAACATAGATGTCGATTCTGGCATGATTCTCTAAAGCTAAACTAAATTTAGTTTTAAGTTTAGAGAATAACGCCAGAATCGATACCATAGTCTCTTCTTTTCATTCTGTGTAGAGAATGAGAAGGATACATGTTGTCAAATTTAAGTTTAGGTTTAGAGACTCATGCCAGAATCGACACCACAGTGTAACTAAAGAGAAAATTGCGTATCTATCGATGCTTTTCAGAACAAGTATCTTAATGGCGTTGTAATATAACTGTTGAAACTATCAAAAGCAGTTAGGTAGCGAATAGGCCTATAGTTCATGAAGGAGTCCAACGGAGTTTTAGGGAATGCAGGACACGGTCTGATACGACAACAACGCAGAGACTTAAAAGAGCACGACTTTCACCAGGTATATCTTTATTGTTAGCCACAGAACTCGTGCCGGCGGTGACCTCCCCGATAAATTTATAAAATCCTAAAACACGACTTCTGTGTCATCTATAGTATTCATTTTATGATTTACGAGTTTTTAGAAAAAAACGTAAACGTAGAGAGTTTTTGGAGTTTACTCCTTAAGAATCGATTTGCATATGTAAGGGGCCCGGTATGAGAAAAATGTGAGGAGTGAAATCTATCGATGAATGACCTCGTTACGTTTTTGGTGCGCATCCTGTTCGAGCCAAAATGACTCTTAAATCCGAGAGCTTAGGTGCAAAAGAATTAAATTGAAACTAAAGTGTATTTTGTTAGACCATAGATTTCTTTATTACTTAGGTGACGTTTTGCCTATATGTAGCTCCAAACATATTTACAAGCGTGATGCAACGAACTACAGCGCCATCTTTTTTGATACATATGTACTAAAATTTTAAATGGACAAATTATCTCGTATACATAATCGCCCACCAAGGACAAACTGAGATTTGTCCTTACAAATGTTTAACATGACTCTGTTATCGCTCACCATGACTTAAGGTAACAAAACAAATAAAAACACTAAGATGTACAATAACTTAAAATAATATAATTATTTATGCACATCTGAAATTGAGTATTGTAAAAAGTTTAATGTAAAATATTTCTAATAAATGTATATGAAATGAATAAATATATATTTATAAATGTATATTATTTTCATTAATTTGTTAATTTACCCTTTCATACAGTATCAATCTTTTTTAAGTTAAATAAACTCTTTTTGCGTCTGGTTAGACTATCGAACTTAAGGAGTGAACTCCAGTCGTGCGTCGGAGCTGACATACACAATTTTTTTTTAACTATGACATAAAGGTATGGTCACCCTTCAAGACAGTGACAAACGGCCTCCGTTCTGTGCCTCTCACTGGATCCGTCTGATTCAGACAAGGTTAACCAAAGAGTATACAAAAGTTTCACGTGATCGCTCCCAAAAAACATCAAACTGTCTGTCAAGCTCAAGTGTCACTGTCAGGTTGACATGAAAATCTAATTTTATTTTCCACTGCCGAAAAAGTTACTTTGATAAAATTGCTATTTTAGTTTTACATTTTAATTAATAAAAATCCAGCTATGTCTGACAACAAAGATGTGCCCAAAAATGAGATGGACCCTGAATTGGACGACTTATTGGACAGTAAGCAAATTTTAAAATATATTTACTTATTTAATTCAATGAGTTACACAATAATTTAACCTAGTTGCACAGCAGTAGAATATTAATTCATTTATTTCTGTCACGTTGGATACAATAAAATATAGGCAAAATGACCTGTCAGCTAACTTCACAAAATTATTTTTAATACTTGGTTAAAATAAGAATTGGTTGAAAAGTATCCAATTACTAATTCAAATGTAGCTATTTATGTGATTAAATGAGCATTAGGGTACTCAATTCATTATCATAAGACCTATGTTTAGTGAATCAGAATCAGATTTTTGCAACAAACTCTGTAACAAATTACATGTTTAATATCAGTACAGATTAACCTAAATCAGGCATGCAATTTTAGAACATTGGAAAAAGTATTGTTATTTTAACATTCTTTTAAAGTTACTAGTGGCCAGCCCTCGCTTTGCTTTGGTGTAGAGCTGAAGTGTAGACTGCAGTTTTTGTTCTAAGGCTTGTATTATACACAATGACATTCATCTATGATTCTTCTTATACCTGCATGCAAAGTCTCAGCCCGATCGGTTTAAAATTGGCAAAGTTTCATACAAACTTTCATTTCCTATTTTATCCCCTTATCCCCTTGGGGGTAAAATGGATCAAAATCCTTTCTTAGTGGATGCCTACGTCATAACATCTACCTGCATGCCAAATTTCAACCCGATCCGTCCAGTGGTTTGGGCTGTGCGTTGATAGATCACTATGTCAGTCACCTTTGAGTTTTATATATGTATAGAATAAGCATTAAAATTAAAGTATTCCTCAAGTGTTTAGAACACATTATTAAGAAACATTGCTTTCAGTTTGTTTAAAATTATGACCATGCAAAGCTTCGAAAAATGTAGGCAAATTGAACTTATTAAGAGTTAAATAAGTATGCTTATTATACATATTATTCATAATAAGTTGTAATTTCAAATTGTGTTTACAAACACTACTCTGCATAGGATGTGATTTACAATTATAAAAATCCAAATTTGTTTTTCATAAATACACAAACTTCGAGAATATAAATATTGATAAGAGTAAGGAACCTTTTTCCTATAAATATGTCTCTTTATGTGTTATCATATTATATGTTATAAATTATACACAAGTATTTTTTGTAGCATTAATGTGCTTTGAGTACACTCAAGTAGATTATTCTATTTGTTAAGATTGGAAACACATAAAGTATCTGGATTTTGTGAATTCACCATTAATATGTTGTATTCACAAAATCCAGATACGGGCAGGGGTTTGTGTAATGCATACGAGCATTTGTACTCCAGTTATGGATGTTTAATATGTAATTATATATAAATATATTTGTATATGTACAGTATACCCTAGTATCCCATAACACAAGCCTGATAGTGCTTACTTTGGGGCTAGGCTAATTGGTGTGAGTGTTGGAAATATTATTATATTATATTCTGATGTACACCCACCAATCCACACTGGGCCCGCATGATGGGTCATGGCCCAAACACCTTATTCTATCCATAGCATAGGGAAGGCCTGTACACCAGCAGTGGGGACATTAATAGGCTGATGATGATACTGATGTAATACTGATTAAGTATTTCACAAGTATTAACTCTATAAAACTCAAAATCTATCATTATCTAAGTAGTAAATATTTGTTTCTTGGGTTTTCATGCACATCACTCATTAAATAAAACTTGTTTTAATGGGTTAATGCACAAAATTTATTTATTTATTGATGTTTCGCAGCCTTTTCAGGTCTGCATTGTCAGAATAATGATATTTTATTTACTTTGTCGAGCTACTTTCGAAAGGCATTTATTAAGAATTCGGATATTTTATTGGAAGATTTTTAAAACTTTATTGTCTATGTATGAATGTATTAGTTAATTTAGTTAATAAAGTACTTTATTTAAAATTCTTTTTTGTAATTTTGAGTCTATTTATTTGACCCTAACTACCGTAAACTACCATCGGTTCCAAAATTGGGAGACCTTTCTGAGAAGAACCAGCGAAAAAAACTCAGAGATGCTTTCTATCTCTTTCTTATATTAAATCATGCAAACAAAAAGATCTAATAGTATCTGTTGGTCTTGCAGTGTGTGCTCAGGGTTGGGATTTTATCTCTTTTATAATGGGTTCCCAAGCTGGTGGTATATATCAACCATCTTCCCTATTGAAATTAGGATATTTTTTCATCTCAATAGCCTCGCGCATCATTCTAGGAACAAATCATTGCTCAGTTCCAAGGATCTGTGGTTTATCAAATCTAATGTAATGGTTTGGTCCCCCTAATGCATGTTCACACACTGCAGAACGTATGAAACGTCAATAAATAAATAAATTTTTAAAACTAGTTTTATTTAGTAAATATTTATTAACTGTTCTGCTTGGTTGACTCTATAAATAGGTATCTTCAGGTGTGGATTCTTATTTGAGCATATACCTTCTTCTTCTTACATTCACTGTTATGTAAAATTTTCAACAGGTGCACTCCAAGACATGACAAAGAAGCAAGAACAGAACGGACAACAGGTGACGGAAAGTGCAGACGGTATACCACAGAACATGTGGAGTGAGGAGTTCATAAAGGAAGCGGCAGCTCAGTTTGAGAGCAACATGGCAGCAATCTTGGGCAGCTTTAGTGGTGTACCAGGTCAGTTTCACACCAAGGTTATTAATATGAGAAGCCTGTTTATGGACTTTTCCTTCAGTTAACCAGTTTGATGAAGTGCTAGATGGCGCAAGTGGAGCGTGTTTGGCTGCGATCGGTGAAGTTAAGCAACCTTGGCCGTGGTCAGTTATTACATGGGAGGCCAAAAATTTGCTATCTAGAGCTCCTCTGTGGATCACAAGGTATGTTAAGCCGTTGGTCCCGGCTGCATCTGCAATTGTTAGTACTCACCAATCCAAGATGGGTTATGGCCCATCCTCCCTATTTCATCCACAGGGAAGGCCTGTGCCCCAGCAGTGTGGACATTAATAGCCTGATGATGATAAGTCAGTTTAACTATTAAAAAATAAATAAAAACACAATGTTATTCACATGTCTGTGAGGCATGTCATATGAACCAATACATTATTGGCTGTTTGTCGGCTGACTGAATTCAGCCACTTCACAGGCAAAGTAATAAATAAATGTACACCAATGCAGTGGATAACGCATTTATAATCATAATCATTTATTCAGTTTAGCCTATTACAAGCACTCATGAATGTCTAGAAGCTACGCCATTGGTTCGTAAATCTACAGCGGGAGACCTTGTACTGAGAAGAACCAGCAAGAAACTCAGCAAGCATGTTCACACACTGCAGAACGTATGAAACGTCAATAAATAAATAAATTTTTAAAACTAGTTTTATTTAGTAAATATTTATTAACTGTTCTGCTTGGTTGACTCTATAAATAGGTATCTTCAGGTGTGGATTCTTATTTGCAAAGTAATAAATAAATGTACACCAATGCAGTGGATAACGCATTTATAATCATAATCATTTATTCAGTTTAGCCTATTACAAGCACTCATGAATGTCTAGAAGCTACGCCATTGGTTCGTAAATCTACAGCGGGAGACCTTGTACTGAGAAGAACCAGCAAGAAACTCAGCAAGGGCTGTTTTTTTCTCCCTGTTTTATTATTTATGGAGTCGTTAAGTTGAAAAATTATTTCAGAGATGATTCATGAAGTCTCCTTTCATTACATAATGATTAAATATACATTAATTGTTTATCTGCATTTTGATTGCTGTGTCATACAGTATAAATACAAATAGTGTTATTTATACTAAGCTTTAATATCAAGGAAGTTAGGGCAGACTCATCTCCGCTGGCAGCACCCGCCGACATTTGTTCTGCAGCCGGGACCAACGGCTTGGTGTGCCTTCCGAACCATGGAGGAGTGAGAGATAAAAAGTTTTCGGTCACCCATCCAATGACTGACCATTACGAGAGTTGCTTAACTTCCGTGATCGCAGAGTGGACGCACCATCAGGTCCTTTAACATTTGAAGGATATTTAGTAGTCTGTTAAATTAATGTTTTGACGACCTCCGTGGCCGAGTGGTGTAGCCGACTCGGGAGGTCCCGGGTTCGAATCCCGGTGGGGGCAGATCCAGTCATGGATGCTTAATAAGTATTTCTAAATAAATCTTATTTGTAAAATTATTGTGTCACAATGTTAGTTACCATACTCCTCTGAGACGGCCTGACCAATTTTTATGAAATTTTATATGCATATTCCGTGGGTTTGAGAATAGGCTACTATCTATTTTTCATATCCTTAAGTGATAATGGTTGTCCACCTCTAATATAGTGTTCTGAAACCTACAATGCTCCTTTGCGCCAAAATTCAAACTATTGGGTACTGTAATGTAGTGTTCTCATATGGGTTAGGAGGAATGTTATCCCAGGAAATTGATAGAACACTATGTTATACACCCAATATTACTTTATTATAATGTGGTATTAGAAACTACATACAACCCTAAATTTTCTCTTCTACCACCTGCCCCTATTTTTATGGCGGTACGAAGTTCGCTGGGTCAGCTAGTATACTTATATATGTACAATACATGTATTCTATCCGTTACCCTAGTATCCCATAACACAAGCCTTGTGCTTATTTTGGGGCTAGGCTAATTGGTGTTGGATTTTTTTTATTTTTCTTTATTTTTAATGTAATGTACGTTATGTGCCATCAAGGGCTTTAGATTTATGGTCTTTTATTTATTTAGTAGTGTGTTAAAAATTTGCATGTTTGTTTCAGAGGAACAAATCACACAAGAACAAATAGCACAGACCTTTTCAAAAATGGCGGGTAAGATTTAGTACTTAACTCTTACTTAACGCCGGCTTTTAAGGTGTCGCCGACTCGAGAGGTTCCGGTTTCGAATCCTGGTCAGGGCAGATGTTTGTGTGATGGATGTTTAATATGTATCTATCTATATATATAAAACTCAAAGGTGACTGACTGACATAGTGATCTATCAACGCACAACCCAAACCACTGGACGAATCGGGGTGAAATTTGGCATGCAGGTAGATGTTATGACGTAGGCATCCGCTAAGAAAGGATTTTGATCATTTCTACCCCCAAGGGGATAAAATAGGGAATGAAAGTTTGTACGAAACTTTGTCAATTTTAAACCGATCGGGCTGAGACTGCATGCAGGTATAAGAAGAATCATAGATGAATGTCATTGTGTATAATACAAGCCTGAGAACAAAAACTGTAGTCTACACTTCAGCTCTACACCGACGCGAAGCGAGGGCGGGCCGCTAGTTTCTATATATATGTATCAGTATATGTATTCTTTCCGTTACCCTAGTATCCAGTAACACAAGCCTACAGTGCTTACTTTTGGGGCTTTGTGGGAGTGTTGGATTTTTTTATTTTTTTTATTTATTTAGTATCTACCCAAAAGTCAGTTGAAGAAATTTGCTATTTTTGTCTTACTGGATCTCTGGCTGTAATATTAGTGTCTTCTTAACTTCATGATACGAATAGACTGTTTTAAAATTTTCTTTTTCTAATTCCATCAATTAATGCTTTTTTTTTCTAAGTGGCATCCCACGGCTTGTGCATTTAGCCAATATCAAGTGTTAAAATGTTTACAAATTCTATAGCACTCGTGGTCAAAGTAATAAATCAAGTCAAAGTAAGTGGCAGTCAAGTCAATCCCCCTTTCCCTATGTTTCAGTAAATGTGTGGGGATTTACTGGAACCTCCCCGTGGACTTCTTGAGGGAACGTCGAAAGACACTTTCCGCTATTTCGTTTCACTTGCCAACACTTGTGCATGTTCCCGAACACTTAGTGGTTAATAATTAATCCACCATTATTAGACACTAACACGCCCCCCCCCCCCCCCCTACAACACAATTTTTAACAAGAAAAACAATACTGCTAAAGTGACGCTTCCCGATCCCGCCAAAAAGTCCCCATTAATAATAATAAATAAATATTTCCGACACTCACACCAATTAGCCTAGCCCCAAAGTAAGCACTATAAGGCTTGTGTTATGGGATGCTAGGGTAACGGATAGAATACATATACTGTATAAGTATATTTATATAAATACATATTAAACATCCATGACTGGAGTACAAATGCTCGTATTCATCACACAAACATCTGCCCCCACCGGGATTCGAACCCGGGACCTCTCGAGTCGGCGACAGCCATGAAACCCGGCGTACAAACCACTCCACGGCCACGGAGGTCGTCAAATCTGATTAATGCTTGCTTGTATAGCATATGTTCAATTTTTTTTTATAGATTTGATAAAGGTTTAGTACAGAATCTTGACAGTATTATGCTCAATTACAAAACTGAAAATAGTCAGAAGGACGGTTTCCGCCTTCTTAAAATTATTAACTAAACTTACACCTCTATTAATACATTTTGTAAAACTTTCATGGTCGCTTTCATTATATTACCTAATTAGCGGGATAGCTACCATGTACTATCAGCCTATTTGATTCTTGACCCCTCATAAGCTTATCTCCTTTCAAACATTCTATTACTATATATATACTATATATACTCCTTCCTTAAAGGCCGGCATCGCATTTGTGATACTCCTGGTGTTGCAAGTGTCCATGGGCGACGGTGATCACTTACCATCAGGTGAGCCGTCTGCTCGTATGCCCCCTATAACATAAAAAAAATATATCCCTGGCAACAAACTTGTTTTTTTTTTTCTGAAAAATCAGAGTTGACAAGACAGATATTGCCACCTTTCTGTATTTTCTTTTACAATGTAAACAATATATTGTTTCAGCATCATTTGAAATATAGTAATTTAAACAATATTAAAAAAAAAACTAAATGATTATTTACTGCATTGATAGCAAAGGTCAGATTTCAAGCATCTTTACATTAAAAATACATTTATATATAGAAATCAAAAGGTAAATGTTTAGCATCTTTTAATCATATTTATAATATAATAAGTTGACCCCGCGTACTTCGTACGGGTTAAAAAATTTTGGAAGTACTGACGGACCCGAGTGTACCGTACCAAAAGGGACGAACGTCAAAATTTTAACAAGAAAGAATATAGAACAGTTTATATGGGAAAATTAAATTGACGTTTTTACTATCTTCCTCGCAATTTTTCCATATTTCCTCACCTTTTAAACCTTCCCTAGACCTCCACGAACATTTCAAGACCAAGATAAGATAAATCCGTTCAGCCGTTCTCGAGTTTTAGCGAGACTAACGAACAGCAATTGATTTTTATATAAATAGAAGATATAGATTTGACTAGGCTCAGTTCTGCCATAACAACTTATATCTAAAAATAACAAAAAAATGTTTCCTTGTTTTATAAGAACTCAAGTACAATTTTGCATTGTCTGTTTAATATGATCTATTTATATCTCTTGTTTCGGCGAATTATCGGGCAATTGGGTCAGCGATCAATTTCCTCCATAGTACCTACTTTGTCTTTCTGCGAGCCCCCGATATTTTGGCACTGTTACAAGTGTCATGCATCACGTAGTAACCGCTATTGATTGATTTTGACAACACGTGTTCGCGACTAGAGGCGAATAAATTCTTCTTGAAACTCTGTGAGAATTCGTGTAAATAAATATTTATTTCCAACACTCACACCAATTAGCCTAGCCCCAAAGTAAGCAATATAAGGCTTGTGTTATGGGATGCTAGGGTAACGGATAGAATACATATACAGTTCATATATAAGTTTATTTATATAGAAATACATATTAAACATCCATGACTGGAGTTCAAATGCGTATTTTCATCACACATACATCTGCCCCCACCGGGATTCCGAACCCGGGACCTCTCGAGTCGACGACACCATGAAACCCGGCGTGCAAACCACTCGGCCACGGATGTCACAAATGTAACGCCGAATGTGTGAGATAGATATTAAGCTTTGTTTTCTTGTTCTAAGCTGAGAACAAAGCATGAATTTTTGCGGCGGCGTAATCGTATGGTCATCGTCAAAATTTGTATGGTAGGAGCCAGTTTTTTGTTACATCCGGTACAATTTTCAACTTGCCGCGAAAACCTTTCTTTGGACATTATGCCGTCTCAATGGTGTGTGGTATACGACCATAATTAAAATGTCAAACGATACAATGTTATGTCACTTCGATCGGAAGTTACTAGCGTGTGACGTCATTTTGGTCTACGCCAATCTCAGGCATTTTCGGTCACGTGATCATAGAACAACAAAATCATTTCTATTGAATGAGTTTTTAGAGAAGTTATTTATTATTCATTTCTTCTGAATGCTAAAATCGCTGCTAATATTCATATTAAATACAGACGCCAATAATTGGTGCTTTATTTTTCATACTGTCAAATAGAGTATTTATAGTCTATTAGCAACGATATTAAATACCCTAGATACATAATCACGAACAAAATCGTAGCCGAAACCTGTCCAAAAGGTACATTGGACGATCCACAGAGCTTCGTAAGATGATCCCATAGTCCAAAACAATATAAGGCATTATTTAAACATTGAAAGTCACCTTTAATGCATACTGTATAAGGTCTTAATTAAAACGCGTGCGTCAAAGAGTTATGACAGTTCAGAATGCAAGCAGGTAAAATTTTACGACTCATTGCTATATGCTGAAGAATAGACCTTTTTTCTTTGACTCTACGTGCAATTCTGAATGCATTGTTAGCAATATAGCAGGTACGGACCGTGAGTAAAAGAGACAATTATATTATCGATCATGCTTTAGAATATCACAAATATTTTCAATTAAATAAGTTAATAGTAAGTATTAGAACCAAATTTGCTTCCAATGCGTTAAATTAACAAACATTTAATATATATATCTGTCAAAAAAAGGACATTTTACGTACTATAAGTATTTATTTCGCATTTTTTCACGGAGCTCTGTGGCATCTTGTCTTTTCAACGGTCCGCGCGTGACTATGAACCAAGAAGTGCTTGAGTCGTGTTCAAGCACTTCTAGATTGGGACACATTTTGAGCGCACGTGGTGTATCTAAGGTATTTAATATTGTTGTCTATTAGATAACAACCGTTTATTATACTATATCCGTTAATAGACTAGTTGACCCTTTTTGGAAAAAGGTTTTAAATGGTTAATAAATGTTCTATTAGACCGAAAAAAAATGTATTGTATTTTTTTTAAACCTAGAAAGCTACAAATCTTTAATTTTAAAATAGACTTTTCATGGACATACAAAAACGCTGTCGGCCATTTTAGTCTATAGATTATCTATGCTATGACGTGAACTGTGGTAAACAAAAACTCGCAAACACGTAGAAAGTTAAAAGTGTTTTAAGATAAATTTAGTCAGACGAAAGAATCCACCTACAGTAACACGCGAATGACATTTAGTTGTTTAACACAAGAGACGTCAAAATCATGGCGGATGTGGCGAACAGCGTTTTTAGTGTTTAAAAAATATAGACTAAAAAATATTTTTTAAAATTAAATTTCTACAGCAATATTCTGCTTTTATGAAGTTAAATCGATATATTAAGGTTCCTTAGACTAAATACTTTAAGAAATAAACATTTTTTTAATACAATTCGACATGAGTAAAGTAGCCTATTATCTGTATTTGGTATTTGTTGATAGAAGCGGCTGCACACGTATTGAAGCCGGGCACACAGGCTGGCGACGCCGCGCCGGCGGCCGAGTTCACCGAAAACCCCGAGGTTCAAGAGAAAATTGACGAGGTAATAGCGATTTTGTATTTATTTTTTAAGCATTTAACTGCTACATGTTTAAATCTAAAGAAAAGTTTACTAGAAAAAAAATCCACGCGGCCCAGGCAGCGGACGGGACTCGAACCCGCACCCTTCGCTATCCGGGCAGATGCACTGACCATTATGCTACCGCGGCCCTGATGGCCGTGTCGAATTCTTTCTAGTATTTCTTAGGCTGCAAGGCAGCGATATCTCTTCGCATTGTAGGTAACCCACAATGTCAAATGAAATACCTTTACAAGTATTAAACATTTGAAAGAAGAAATAGCAAATAGCTTTTACAAATTTTATATCTATATTTTTTTTCTTATTTTTTAATAGTTTTTATTTCACAATGATTTGTTTTGTTTTTAACATAGTTTATAAGGCTAATTTTGTTACTAACACTTATGTATAAATGTCCGAAATAAATGAATTTATTAAATATTATTATTTACAGGTGTCCGCAGCGATTTCACAGACCTTGCAGAATTTGAACACTAACACAGAGAACCTGCAGACACCGCTCTCGGAACAAGACTTGGCTAACATGTTCCAGAACTTCAACTTAGGAGAGGGGGCAGAGCAGGTATTTATTTATTTATTCAAGTTACACATACGCCGGCTTACAGAAAAATCCAAAACGCCGGCAAGTCACACATGAAAACATTAACATTCATAGAAGGTGTTCATTGAATTCAATAAAATTATGAAAAACAGAAAAAGAGAGAATAAAAATAAAAAAAAGTAATATCAAATAGATAAGTACATCGCCCATTGTAAAAATAAATAAAATTTCTTCTAGTATTTCTTAGGCTGCAAGTGGTGTTGCCAGGTGTCCCGATTTGCGTGGGACGTCCCGATTATCAGGGGTCTGGGGATGCGTCCCGATTTGTACCAGATCGGCACGCTAAATGTCCGAATAATCAAAAAATGAAATTTAGGTAATAGGGGTGATGACGGGGTACAGTAAACGAAATTCTATTTAGTCCGTCAGTTAGATGATCAAAAAATAATGGACACGTATTTTTTCTTTGGGCAATCAACCAAAAAATGACAAAGTTACAGCGCATCAAAGTTTGGGAGTAGGGGCTCGTGACGTCACTTTTGAGTGAATTTTCCCTTATAAGTGTACTCAAACGTGACGTCATGCCACTTTTCAAATCAATATATCTCTGCAATGTTTATATTATGTGAAAAAAGAAAAAATACGTGTCCAATACTTTTTGATAATCTACCTGATAAAGGAAGAAAAAAAAATTAGTCATGATGCCTATTAAAATAATACTATACTTGCACTAGTAGTTTAAAACGCAATAAATTAAACTCAGACTTAAAAACCCCTTGTTTTTTGTTTAATGTCCCGATCTGCAACCCTAAGTCCTGATTTTTTTGACCTCATGTACCGATCAATCAATCAAAATCATTTATTCGGTTAAGGCTGTTACAAGTACTCATGAATGTCTAGAAGCTACTCATCGGTTCGTAAATCTACGGCGGGAGACCTTGTACTGAGAAGAACCGGCAAGAAACTCAGCAAGGGCTGTTTTTTTCTCCCTGTTTTATTATTTACAGAGTCGTCAAATTGAAAAATGACTTCATAGGTGATTCATGAAGTCACTTTCCATTACATAATTATTAAATAAATATACATTAACTGTTTACCTGCATTTTGATTGCTGTGTCATACAGTATAAATACAAATAGTGTACGATTTAAAACAAATTCGGGCCTGGCAACACTAGCTGCAAGGCAGCGCTATTTTGTGGGAGTTTTTGGCGGGATTTCATCGAGTGTGGTTGGCGTCTTATTTTAATTATTCTTAAATTCGTTCATAGTGGATATTGTGAAATAAAATTGGTGTGATTTTGTGTTACAACTGTCTGCGTAAATGAAGAATTAGTGGAATCGTCAAAATATACGCAATTCCGGTCAAGTGGACGTGAGATTTTATTGTAGTATTGTCTACCTCACAAAAGCTTATCGAAAAAGCCAGCTCGATACATTTCGTGCCAAGCACTTCAAGAAACATTAGAATGCGTCACACCGACATTCTAATGTAAAAAGTAAAACAGAATAATTTAACTTAAGACTAGGCTGTATGGGCATTGTTCCCCTTGCCTTCCCTGAAAAGGGAGAACTTAACCAAAAAAAAAAGGCAGCGCTATTAATATTTAATGTAACAAATTTTCTCAGGACGGAAACATGTTCGTACCATTCATGCACGGAATAATGCAGTCATTACTATCCAAAGAAGTGTTGTACCCATCGCTGAAGGAACTGGTGGACAAATATCCGGCTTGGTTGGCAGAAAACAAAGGCAAGGTGGAACAGAAGGAATATGAAAGGTAAGCGGTTGGTTTGCCTGTCTGTTTGTTTGGAATAGGTCTAGCAAGCAGGTGGTATGTTTATGGTATTAATGAATACTAGCAAACCAGTGAACCAAATGTTCACCAAAACCTGATTTAAAAAAAAAATGTATTTAATTAATTGAGAACTTCGGAGATTTTGTGTGGTTTCGTTTGAAATTCGTGATTTCTCGAAAACCGGAAGTGCTACGTTACTTAAATCCGGTTTGTAGTCTTATCAGACTATTCTTAACTTATAACTTAAATATTCTCTTTATCTATCTCTTACTGATTGGTCGCTGAAACAGCACCACAGACGGACGGACGGACTTGTCTAATAGATAAGAGATATAAAGAGTATTGGCCCCAGGTGTGGGCCTTGTGGAACACTGTACATTATTGAAATATTGTCACAAATTTGTCAATAATTACTTTTTTTTCTTTGAATCGGTGAAATACACTCGACTGCAAATAAACTGGGCCAACCGAATCATAGTTCCAAGGAAGTAACTAGACCGCCAATTGTTTACCTTTTTAAATTATTGTCCTAATTTTGTATTTTATAATGTGGTGTGTACAATAAAGATTTATCTATCTATCTATCTAGCCTTGGAACTATGATTCGTTATTTTTTTCAAAAAGTATAAAAATTACAACTATTTAAAGCTTTATTTACAGAAAGTATGTTTCATAATTATTAATATGAGTAAAAAGTTATTCGAAAGTACTGTCAACTTACTTTGTAATCGAGCAAAAACAGCAATGCTAACAGTTTGATATTTTTTTTAATAAAGTCGCAATTATCGTTCTTTTTCATAAAATGAAGATAGTCTGATACTTGTTATTGAGGAAGGTATACTTATACTTCTTAAGGAAATGCCTTAGTTTTTCTCCATAGTTATCGACGACCTCAGTGGCCGAGTGGTTTGTACGCCGGGTTTCATGGTGTCGCCGACTCGAGAGGTAGCTGGTTCGAATCCCGGTGGGGGCAGATGTTTGTGTGATGAATACGAGCATTTGTACTCCAGTCATGGATGTTTAATATGTATTTCTATATACTTAAATATGTACTGTATATGTATACTATCCGTTACCCTAGCATCCCATAACACAAGCCTTATATTACAGTGCTTACTTTGGGGCTAGGCTAATTGGTGTGAGTGTTGGAAATATTTATTTATTGTATTTTTGCTTCGATCGTTACTTCCGAATACCATATTTGGAAAACGATTTTTCCATGGCTTTTTTTAAATAAAAATTTAATTAATTTAATCAATTATCTCAATAAATTCTAGTTCATTTTAATCACCAAGAAGCGCACTTTCTGTAGTTATAATTTTGATAGTTGTAAGTTTTATACTTTTTGAGAAAATCAAATTAAGAGTTCCGTGGTAGCAAGTTGTGACGACATCCGTGGTCGAGTGGTTTGTACGCCGGGTTTCATATTGTCGCCGACTCGAGAGGTCCCGGGTTCGAATCCCGGTGGGGGCAGATATTTGTGTGATGAATACGAGCATTTGTACTCCAGTCGATGGATGTTTCATATTTATTTCTAAATAAAAATATACTTATATATGTACAGTGTATGTATTCTATCCGTTACCCTAGTATCCCATAACACAAGCCTTATAGTGCTTACTTTGGGGCTAGGCTAATTGGTGTGAGTGTTGGAAATATTTATTTATTATTTATTTAAGTGGCCCAGTTTATTTGCAGTCGAGTGTCAATCGATCCAGCAATGACTTTTTTCTCCAACGGCAGCAATAGGGATGATGACTATTTTTTTTCTTCGTTTATCAGGTAGATTATCTAAAAGTATTGGACACGTATTTTTTCTTTTTTTACATAATATAAATATTGCAGAGATATATTTATTTGTATAATCGCATGACGTCACGTTTTGGTACAATTTTCACTTAAAAGTGACGGTACGCGCCCCTACTCTTTTTTTTTTTTTTTTTTTTTTTTTAATGTCTAGAAAATGCATTACGCATACTTCGCCAACCGAGGGTTGCGGACGAAGCTATCGGGGACTCCTCTCCGCCGCTTCAGGGAACACAAGTGCTCCGAGAAGCAAGCGGGGCCCTACCTCGCCAAGAAGGCGACCGCCACAAGGGCGACCGTAAAAACTAGACAATACTCCTGCACCGGTCACCCGGCGCGCATTATGAGGGACCGCGGTCCCTCCTAGTGCGCACCGGGAGTGCGAGTGATGTGGCGGTATCCGTTTCCGAATAGTCCGCCCACCCGCAAGGTGATTGTCCGCAAGCGGACCCGCCCCGATGAACATGCCCCGGAGTATGAGGGGCATCAACATCCAGAGAGCTTGTGCAATGCAAGCCTGGCCCCCTCAGGACAGACTCGCGGCCCACAGACTCGCGGCCCGCGCGCCCCTACTCCCAAACTTTGACGCGCTATAACTTTGTCATTTTTTGGTTGATTGCCCAAAGAAAAAATACGTGTCCATTATTTTTTGATCATCTAACTGACGGACTAAATAGAATTTCGTTTACTTTACCCCGTCATCATGCCTATTCTGCCTTTTTTCCACAGATCCTGATTTTTAGGGGTATTTATGTTTGTGATGATTGGTGATCGGCGTAGGTTGTGCCATTTGGGGTCAATGAACCTGAATGTCCATATTGGATATACCCCGTATAAGGGATAGAAAAAGAAAACAAAGATGCCGGAAAAAAGATGGCGCGTTCGAAGAGATACTGCTTGAGCTCACTTGTAATGGCCGAAAAAAATGCAACAGAGGCATAGTGGGGCGTTAGGCCCGATATTAGCACCAATCACGCGGTAGCTCCTCGGCAGCGCATTATTTTATTTGTCAATGAACAAATACATCGGTTTTCAATTACGTTTAGTAGATGAGTGTTAAAAATTAAAGTTAGGTTTCTTTTACAGTTTTTTAGTATTATAAAATATTAATTTCTATAAAATAATGGTGCGTCGCCTAAACCCCGCATTTCCCGGGAAGATTAACCTAAATGTCGACGTATTTATAATAATAATAATAATAATAATTCATTTATTTCAATCATAAAGATCATAGCATGCCAATGACAAAATAATAATAAATAGTAATAATTATGATACATAAAAATAAATTAAATTACATCTCCACATACAATTACATTTAAAACAAAAATTCAATTCAATTTAATCGGTTTCACACCTAAGTATTAACAGTTTCAGAATTTCAAAAATAAAATGTCAAAATTTAAAACGGTAAAATAAAATTTAAATGTCAAAATTAAAATGTTATGATTAAAAATTAAAATTAAATTTATTAAATAAAGTTAAACTTTTATATTATTTTCGATATAATCTACATACACTAACTTAAGCAATTGCATAATGCTTAACCACAATCAGAATACTGTAATCCGACAAAGTATATGTGTTATAGGTATGTGCGTGTATGTGTATGTATATATATATATATATATATATATATATATATATATATATATATATTTATTTATAGTGTCTGTGTGTATATTTATATAAGTACTAGCTGACCCAGCGAACTTCGTACCGCCCTAAAAAAATAGGGGTTGTCCAGCGGACAAAATTGTGAATCTAAACCATTCTCAGATCCCCTTCAACACACACAAAAAATTTCATCAAAATCGGTCCAGTCGTTTAAGAGAAGTTCAGTGACATACACACTCACAGAAGAATTATATATATAAAGATGGTTGTATGTATAGTTAAGTGTCAGTATATTTTCTCATTGTTTGATTTTAATGTCTCTTCTTTGATTCTGCCGTTTTTATAACTCTGTATGTTCTTTCCGGTTGACTGGTAGAGAATGCCATATTGGCATTAAGTCCGCCATTTGCAGTGTAAAGGCAATAAAGATTAAATAAATAAATAAAATAAAAATCTGGTCTTGATTTAGAATAGGCCTTAGAATATAGTAAAAGGACAATGCAAGTGAATGGGCCCAAAAAAAAAATATGTTGTGCAGATTTAGGACATAGACTACGATGTAGATCTAATAAACACCTTTAACTTTTGTTATGGCGTCGACAAAATTGGCCCCAGCAAAAAAAAGTTATAATATGCTGAAGTATTGATTCTGCTGTAATGAAATATATTATTTTACGTCTAAAACCCCTTTTTGAATCTAAGCTTAAACCATACGTTGCCTCGACGGGCGACTCGTCAGACGTCAGGCAACCCATTTTAGAATTGTCATTGCAGTTCTCTTTCTCTTTTATCTATTTTTCATCATCGGATGTTTCATTCGTACACGACGGCCGCTCTGACCCTTTTTTACCTGGCGTGTGGCGTTGCCTGATGTCTGACGAGTCGCCTGACGAGGCAACGTATGCTTTAGCTTAGATTCAAAAAGGGGTTTTAGACATAAAATAATATATTTCATTACAGCAGAATTAATACTTCAGCATATTATAACTTTTTTTTGCTGGGGCCAATTTTGTTGACACCATAACAAAAGTTAAAGGTGTTTATTAGATCTACATCGTAGTCTATGTCCCAAATCTGCACAACATTTTTTTTTTGGGCCCAAAGACAAAGGCCAGATTTGCATGGTCCTTTACAGATATTGAATATAAACAACATTTTGCTTTGACACAAATAAAAATGTAAAGTGGACTTGCGCAACAATTAGCTAAACACTCGAGTTAACTTGATTTGGTACGAGATTTGATATCTTATGGAAAAGTATGAGCAAAATTAAGTTTCTACGTTAACTGAAAAATTAGAGTATCGATTCAAGTATGCTTTATAAGCAAAAGATGATTTAGATTGACGGTTGAGAATTGTCTATTTGTCACAAATCGTTAACTACAATCGGAATGAACTTGAAAAATTAAATGAAAATGAAAAAAACATTCGGAACAGTCATGGATACAGAAAAAAGGTAAAACTCATATATATAAGGACCACTATATGACGGACATTAAAAAACATAAATTACATAACATGTATCCACAGCTGGACCGAAAAGGACCCAGTTCAGCATTATGTCAATTTGCACTGACTCTAGTTTTGAACTGGTTCCCTTTCTGACATGTAGATGCCAGACACTATGAAAACAAGATTATAGGATTTTATATTAAACTAGCTGACCCAGCGAACTTCGTACCGCCATAAAAAAATAGGGGTTGGTGGTAGAAGGGTGAAAATTTAGGGTTATATGTATTTACTAATACTATCATAAAAAAAAATTAGGGGTGGATTACCCTTAACATTTAGGGGGATGAAAAATAGATTACATCCGATTCTCAGACCTACTGAATATGCATATAAAATTTCACGAAAATCGGTCTAGCCGTTTCGGAGGAGTTTAACCACAAACACCGCGACACGAGAATTTTATATATTAGATAATAAAAATAACAAATCTGAAGGCAAGGCTGTAGAAGTTCTTTGACTTCGCCTACATTGATGAATGTATTCTGTTTTCCTTGATAGTAGAAGAGTAATGAATTTTATGCAAAACGAGGCTGTATGGGCTATGCTGTTTGCTTTCCCAATAGGGTAATTTAACAAAACAATGATACTTCCCTTCGTTGTAGAAAGAATACATCAAAATTCAATAAAATACTACATAGCATGAACAACTTGCTGCGGAAAACCTGAGGCATCCTTATCATAGACACTTGCCGTTCATTTTTGTTTTGACTAAAGCCTAGCAGGCGCGGCCCCAGGCTGAAATTTTGGAGGGGGTCACTCACTCACACTAATAAAAAACAGCGGCCAAGAGCGAGTCGAACTCGCGCACCAAAGGTTCCGTACACACCTGCATTTTATTATATGATGTAACTTAAAATTCACGGTTTTCGCAATTTTTTCTTTATCTATACTATAAGACGTTACTTTGTACCAAATGTCAAGAATGACCTTAGATTTGGGGAGGGGGGGGGTCATGTACCCTGTGACCCCCCCCCCCCCCCCCCCCCCCCTTCGGGCCGCGCCTGAAGCCTAGCCAGTGACGCATGGAAAGTTCGAGTAGGGCGAGTACATCTATAGCAAGTAGGAGTATACGTTTATGCACAAAACATGTTCCAATATTAATTAATTATCATCAAATAATGGATATTATTAATTTTAAGTAAAATTTGTTAAGGGGTGGCTGAAAAACAGCGTTGGTTCAGGTCTAGGCTTGACCAACATTGGCTGAGCCATTCCCTATTGTTTTATTTTTAATGAAATATTTTTTTAATATCTGTTAACATGTAAAAAAAGACAATAAATTATTATTATTATTATCTTCTGCTTCGCTATCACGTTCATATGAAACAAACCGGTAACATTAGTACTGTAATACAAAATTTGATATCGTCCTTCCGTTAACTTTATCTAACACTTTAATCGCCATCAAGAAATGTTTTGGCTTTATTAGAAAATTTACAACATATCTTCCAAGTAGTCTGATTAAATGACCGTCTGTCAAAATGGATTTATTAGGCACGGGAAACACCTATGAAACATATTTTCTTCGTCCCCAGATTCGAAAAGCAACTGGAATTAATGAAGCAAGTTTGCTCAGAATTAGAACCTGAATCGGAGTCAGACCCTGAAGACGTGAAGAGGCAGAGATTCGAGAAGGTCCTGGAACTAATGCAGAAGGTAAGTAGAAGATAGTCATAACATCATCTTATTAATGTCCCCCCTGCTGGGCCACGGGGCTGCCCTATGGATGGAAAAAATAGATTGAGCCGTGACACTCCACGCGGGCCCAGTGCGGATTGGTAGGTGCTAACGACTGCAGATGCAGACGGGACCAACGGCTTAACGTGCCTTCCAACCACAGAGGAGTGAAAGATAATAAATTTTCTCCAATTCAAAAACAATGCAAAATAAACTCTTAAACTTATATGTGTCAAGATTATCAATTGCATACCATAAATCAGATATTTGTTTAACATGTAGGTTGCAATGAGTTATTTAATTTTATTGCTTATTGTTAAACTTTAAGTAAGCGTTGGCATTCAAACGAATAGACATAATGCCATTTTGTTGATTTCACAGATCACTATTAAGATGAAGAAATGTATTTTAGATGTTTCATACAAATGTCCCCATTTTAGAACCCTTAGTTATTTTCCCATTTGAAATTGCACTCCAAAATATATTTAATAACATACTTTTATATATAAAGATAAAAAATAATCCAATGATAGAAAACAATATATTACTATGTGGTTTGACAAAATTTAGAAAACGATCTACTAATGTTTATGGAGTCCATAAAAAATGGATACTTTTAATTCTGTTGAGTAATTCAGTAAAAAATGAAAAAAATGATGTGGTGTCGAGGGACACCAGGTAGGAACGAAGTTCCTTCGGCTAATGTAGAATCGACACAAATTGCAAACTCGCTTGTGTATGCGACTGTCGCGCCTGCGCACGTCTTATTTAACGGTTTTTTCCACGCACTTTTTTCCACGGATTTTTTCTTACGGTTTTACTATCACATTTTTTTCAGTTCGGTCGCGCAGCAAAATCCCTATCCCCTCCAAGCCTGCCGTAAGGAACTTCGTTCCAATTAAAAAATCTATTTTTCAAGTTGCCGCGAAAACGTTTCTCTGGACATTATGGCGTCTCACTAGTGTGTGACGTCACATGACTGTCATTAAAACGTCAAATAATACAATGTTCTGTTACTTTGGCCGGATGTATACTAGCGTGTGACGTCATTTTAGTCATGGCCAATCCCAGGCGTTTTCAGTCACGTGAAAATGGAGCAAAAAAAATTAATTCTAAGTATTTATTAATTTTATAGAAAAGTTATTTATTATTTCTTGTTTCTGAATAGTAAAATTTCCGTTAATATTTATATTAAATATATATTATTATGCCAACATATTTTAATCATTATTTTTTATAGTTTCAAATAGCCTTTTGTGAAATATAATATTTATTTATATTCCAGATGCAGGACTTAGGTCAGCCCCCAACAGAACTAGTAGGTGATATCGGGGCTCCGCCCCAGGCCTTCGCCCCTCCAGTGGGGCAAGACCCGAGCCAATGTAGCGTCATGTAGTCGTATTTCTGACGCAAAAACAAATAAATATTATATCGTGTGCCTAAAGTCTATTTCAATACGATTTGTACAGAAAGTATTTCGTCACAAATCTTTCATGCTAACAGTTTCGTCATAATTTTATGTTTTGTGGCAATGTTGTGTCTTTGACTAAGTTCTGACGCACAAACACAAATATCGTGTGCCTTAAGTCGTATTACAATAGGATTCGTTAAGAAAGGATTTAGAAGTCTTTTTCAAGACGATTTGTACAGAAAGTTAAAAAAAAAACCCACGCTCTTTATTGTCGATCCAATGTTGCGTCATTTAGTAAATTTCTGACGCACAAACACATATATCGCGTGTCCTGAGACGATTTCAATATGTCTCTATAAAAAGTTACTTGTTTTGAAGTATATTTCAATATAGTTTGTACCAAAGCAGTCACTTCTGATACGCAAACATATATATAGTGTTTTAAAGGCTATTTGAGCAGCTGGCGAACAAAACGGTGTAATTACGCATCTGGTCAAATTACCTTTTTCGGAGAGTCCGGAGGTTTCGGGCCCGTTGATTTTTAATCTCAAATAATTTTCAATCAGAACCGCCTAAAACAGTGTTAAAATTACTACATTTGTAAAAAATTAAAGGATTTAGCCATAACTGTAATGTGACTAAAGACATATAAAATGGAAAAGGGCTACATCTATCTCTTTCCAATACTTTATCGGGCTTATTGGTGAAAGTAGGACGGATGAATGCTTTTTGTTGCTATTTTAGCATTCCTTCTCTATAAATTATTATTCTAAGGCGTTCCCTAACCAAGTGTCAAGTAATCTAGGCATTACCTTCTGTACAAATGCGATTGAAACCGACTTTTTATAGGTAAGTAGTTTGCTCTTGAAAGGTAATAGAAAAATGGTTAGTGCCAAAGGGTGTGTTAATATTTATATCTCACTCGACGTGATGCACCTTTATCGCTCTGTCAGCCTTGGTGAAGTGAATATTGTGTATGTTACGCTAACATATCGATCAGACAACGATATCGAAGATAAAATTCTTTGATTATATACACGCCTAAAACCGTATTAACTGCACGGAAGCAGCCCAAAAAAAATTTAGTTACGATTTTATTTATTTTTTAAGCATTTAACTGCTAGATGTTTAAATCTAAAGAAAAGTTTACTAGAAAAAAATCCACGCGGGCCAGGCAGCGGACGGGCAGGCAGCTTTCAAATGTTTAATACTAATACTTGAAAAAGTATTCATTTGACATTGTGGGTTACCTACAATGCGAAGAGATGGCGCTGCCTTGCAGCTTAAGGCTAGGAAAATTTCGACGCGGCTAATAGGGCCGTGGTAGCATAATGGTCAGTGCATTCGCCCGGATAGCGTAGGATGCGGGTTCGAGTCCCGTCCGCTGCCTGGTCCGCGTGGATTTTTTTTCTAGTAAACTTTTCTTTAGATTTAAATATTTATTTATTTGATCACCAACATAATAGACATTGATACAACAATCAAGCAGTTATTGATAAAGTGCTTAAGCTTAATGTTATTATAATTATAGGTGAAGACAACAAGCGTTATAGAATAGAAGCAACAATAATGGTAAACTGTCAATGAAAAAGCGTTTAAAACCTTTCTAACTAAGATAAAAAAATGCATTCAATTAACAATGTCCCGGTTAAAATTAATGCATACGAAGAACTACAATCGAATATAGTCAACATATAAAAATATATTATGAATCGAAATTAATTAGTCACAAAAAATTACAGATAAAATTAAAATCAATTTATAGAAATAATAACACTATCTACTACATATGGTAGATATGCTCTTCGCTACACACGCACACATTGCGCATAACATGAGGCGTTTTCTTTGCGTGGTTCATTTGAATTGCTCTATGTAACCGTGTATATAATCAAAGATATAATTGTAAACTGTATATCTGTACGTTTGTAAATATATTAAATGGAATGGTACTGTAATAATTGTACATTATTACCTGTCGTTTAAGGTAATTTAATATCCTATTGCTTGTAATTAATATCCCTAATTGGTTATTGGTAAAACTGTTTGTGTATGGAATGTGTAAGATCAAGTGCATACGATTTTCACCTTTAAATGAGTGAGCTTACTTCAGCTGTACATTCTATCTGACAGCTAAAAAATACATTTTACAATGTGAAAGTTTGTTTATTTTTAGTTTGTTGTAATAATTGTGTAAGAATGGACAAGATAAATAAAATGAAAGGACTTAATAGATAGTCAAGATGTAGAATTGTGTTGTATTTATAACAATAATAAGGTATGGACTAGCTTTTTCTGACACAGTGTACGTGTAAAATGGCGTCGCGTAAAGTGTCATTGTGACGCTTCTTTGACTTTAATTTTAAATTATAAACTTTCTACATTATTTAAATGAATCCTTTTTTTAATAGATAATCAAACATTAATTCACGGTTTTGAGTAATATAGATGGTGTGCATCGATTTGATAATTGGAATATCGATATTTTTGCTATATTTCAAGATGGTTACATTTAGTTTCACAACACTAGTGGCAAGCAGTGATAATACGTAGCGGACAAAACTATATCCTTTCCTTTTGCACGTATAATGTGAGGGAGTTGGGTATAATTTAAACGTATATTGCGAATCTGCAATGACGAGAATTTACTTATTTACAACCAATGGGTTGAAGGTTATTTGCATAAGTTATTTATTTATATATTTAATGGTTATGTTGCGTCGCGTGTATCAAAGAGTGTTGAAAAGTCTTTTTACTCTGTTATTTGTGGTTGAAAAGGGAGTTATTAAGCATAAAGCTATGCCATTCAGGAATAAAAAAAACCCGCGTGGAGTGAGAAAATGTAGTGTGTTTGTCAATGATCAAATTGTTTTTGTCCTAGTATATAATGTTCTTGGAACTGTTTGAACTGTCAATTTTCTACTTTAGGCTTTGGACTTTATTTCATTTGATTAAAGATTCACAAACTATTGAGAAATATTGACTTTAATAATTTGATATTTTATGTGAACAAATTGATCCTGACCCACTCTCTTGCCCGATAATTCGCTTTAAAATAACAAAACAGACAAGTTTTTAGAGATTAACAAGGAAACTGTGTTAATATGGAACAAGGATCATAGAAATTTGACCTTTAATTTTAAAGCAATTGATCATGTTATAGATGAAATTGCAACAGTATTTTGAATTTTAAAATCATTTATAAAATCGTAAAGAGTGGCCCGATTGTACTTGATCATGTTAGCCCATATTTGGCAGACATTACTCGAATTCGGGCACACGAAGCAATATTTACACTTGAATAAGGGCCGGAAGACAGTGTCGGGTTACCAAAATGAAAACTACCCGAATACGTCTATAGTCATTTACCCGAATTCCACTGACAATCGTATTCGGGCTAATGACCAAGTGTAATTGAGCCATTAAACTTTTTCAATTTCTTGACATTACAAAAACGTTGGTAAATTAATCCTTTGTGCACGGGTAAAACTCCAGATAATTATTTGTCAAAATTATGTCACAGAAGGCGGCATAATTTGTCAGGTCATATAGAATGGTTCAAAAAATAACAGGTTTGTTTCCAGGGAGACGTACAATTAGACAAAAATGTACCTTATTGATTTGAATGGATGTTGGAACATAAGTTTATGATGGGTCAGGAATGAAATTGGCTGAAAGTTCATTTATCGTTTTATTTATACAAAAAGGTGATAGATTTTGTTTGCAGAATAGTTTGTGTGTAAAATAAATTAATAGTGGGTATATATATATTTGTAAAGTCGATATATTTAATAATTTACAATTATAATTAATTATGTGTGTATAATATTTGTAGCAGTATGTTAATATTTAACACGGGAAGTTCCTGAAGAAGAAAATTATTTATTCAGTATGTAAAACATTAAAATTATGACTTGAAATTTGTTTTTCTTTTTAATACTGTTATGTCTGTTAAACATTTTGATGATTTGATAATAATTGTATGACCTTGAAATGGATCTTTATGATTCATATTTAATAAATTCCGGATGTTTCCGATCCATTTAAGACGTGTCATGATCATAAAATCGCAATATATAATATAATCATATTTTGATACTCAGATCGAATTAAATATAAAAAGGAAATGTAATAAAAAGTGTGCTAGGGGTTAATAAACTTAATAATAATTCTTGTTAAAAGTTGAATAGCTTATAATATCTTCATCACAGCCACGGTTAGTATAAAATAGATTATTTTTTCCTTCTAGAACGACCTGCTAATAAAACGTATTTTTTTTCGTTTTTTAACTGTTATTTTTAGCGGACCTATCTAATGTTATTTTTCGAGTACACTCGGTCGTACGCCCGTATACGAAAGACATTACTCGAATTCGGGCACCCGTAGCAAGATTTACACTGGAAGACGGTGTCGGATAAACAAAAGGAAATCTACCCGAATACTGCGTATTCGCTTCCGTTCATTTACACTTAGTCGTTTACCCGAATTCCATTGACACTCGTATTCGGGCTAACGGCCAAATGTATTTGCGTCATTAGATTTTGTATTTAATAATCCCGCTTTTATAATCTGTGGAAGGGTTTTTACAAATACAAACAAACATGTTATTTTCGCGGGAAATTCGTAGCTAATTAGATATATTTAGCCTAATTTATGATTGTGTTATAATTAGAGTTTATTATGAATTATTTGAATAAAATGGGTCATATTCGCATAAATTTTTTCGTTCGTTTTTGATGATGGTATTTATTTAATAATTTATCACTTGTTGTTTTTGTAGGCCGTATTTGAGTCGAATACACATTTTTTTTTGTCAAATATGGCTGTTTTTTTTTTCATTGTGTCTCGTGTACCTGAATTCTACCAAATGATACTAATTATTTTAGAAATATTTGAACTTTTCTTTAGGTGTGATTTTTATAAATGTAGAATGATGATGAGGGTTTTTATATTAATAATGGCTCAATTATACTTGGTCGTTTTCCCAGTATTCGGGTGCACGAAAGACATTACTCTAATTGGGGCACTCGAAGCAATATTTACACTGGAATACTCGCTGAGAGACAGTGCCGGGATAATCAAAACGAAAACTACCCGAATCCGGCGTAATAGACTCCGTTCATTTACACTAAGTCGTTTACCCGAATTCCATTGGCAATCATGACGACCTCCTTGACCGAGTGATTTGTCCGCCGGGTTTCATGGTGTCGCCGACTCGAGAGGTCCCGGGTTCGAATCCCGGTGGGGGCAGATGTTTGTGTGATGAATACGATCATTTGTACTCCAGTCATGGATGTTTAATATGTATTTCTATATAAAAATACTTATATATGTACAGTATTAGTTTAATATCTGTTACCCTAGTATCCCATAACACAAGCTTATCTTGGGGCTAGGCTATAATTGGTGTGAGTATTAAAAAAAAATATTCGGGCTAACGACCAAGTGTAATTGAGCCATAATAATAATATAACTACCAATTCCTTCTAAAGCCGTGGCCGTCTAGTGCACTTGGTGCCTTAAGGGTTTACATCATTATAGGCCCAGTAATCTAGAAATGATCCGTTTGGATGACTGCAGTTGCATATATATATATGTGTGTGTGTGTGTGTGTATATGCGCGGGATGCGTGCGCAGCTCATTTGAGCATGAAAGTTGAAGGGTAACTCGGCAAAGGTTAAAACGCTACGAGCGTCACACGCGACAATATATATATATATATATATATATATATATATACATGAGTGATGCGTGCGCTAGTCCATTTCCCTATGCCTTATGCACCCACACGCCACAATCTATATATATCTATTTAAATAAAACTCAAAGGTGACTGACTGACTGACATAGTGATCTATCAACGCACAGCCCAAACCACTGGACGGATCGGGCTGAAATTTGGCATGCAGGTAGATGTTATGACGTAGGCATCCACTAAGAAAGGATTTTGATCAATTCTACCCCCAACGGGATAAAATAGGGAATGAAAGTTTGTATGAAACTTTGTCAATTTTAAACCGATCAGGCTGAGATTTTGCATGCAGGTATAAGAAGAATCATAGATGAATGTCATTGTGTATAATACAAGCCTGAG